GAGAGAGAGAGAGATAGATAGATAGATAGATAGATAGATAGATAGATAGATAGATAGATAGACATAATAACATTTAAGAAGAAGCCAACAACAACAACATATGACAGTTATATTAGTTAATTCTTACTCTAGTCTAGTCTAGAGTACATGTATGCTATATATATTATTCAACGAGCTCCAGCTAAAATTTGGTTTTAGATTTTCAAGATTTAGCATTACACTTATATAGCATTACAGATACACTGATAAACATCATACTAATTGGTTGATTAACCTGTTTGTTATCCCCAGGTACATTCCCAGAGACCTCCAGGATGGTGAAACAGGTCCAGTCCCCCAGTTCCACCTCTACACTAGTGCAGTATTCTCCTGCCACTATCGAGTGTTTGGAGTCAGGGGCTACCAGGGGGGATCAGGGAACACCTATCTTTGGTGCAGTCTGCACAGGTAAGACTTTAACAGCCTTATCCCTAACCCCAACCCTAACCTCACATTGGTGCAGTATTCACCAGCCACTGTCGAGTGTTTGGAGTCAGGGGCTACCAGGGGGGATCAGGGAATATTTGGTGCCGTCTGTACAGGTGAGACTTTAACAGCCTTATCCCCAACCCCATCCCTAACCCTAACCATACCCCAACACTGCCCTATCCCTAACCCCCAACCCTAACCCCAACCCTAACCTCACACTGGTGTAGTATTCTCCTGCCACTGTCGAGTGTTTGGAGTCAGGGGCTACCAGGGGGGATCAGGGAACACCTATCTTTGGTGCAGTCTGTACAGGTGAGTCTTTAATTGCCTAACCATAAACCCACAATGGAGCCCTACTCCCCCAAAACAGTGACTGTTGTTGACTTAGAAGTTAGATTAGTTAGAATCTGAAGGTTCTGGGTTTGGAACCCTAGCAGGCCCCACTGTTTGATAATTGTGTCCTTCGGAAAAGCACTTTGCACTTTTTCCTCATTACTTATGAAAATAAGTAAATAGCTTAGGACTTTTACAGTCTGTTAGGGATGTCCTCTTGAGTTACACAGATACAGACACAGACTGGAACAACATTCGGATTTCCCAAGTATAATTTATACTTCAAAGTGACTAACATACTGTTCTATACAGGAGGTCAGTGGGCCTGGCTGGCCAGTATTATACATTATATTGTATGTGTTCTGTAATTTAGTGTAAAGTGACTGTACTTGTATGCTATCCCACATACAGGAGGGCAGTGGGCCTGGCTGGCCAGAGGAGCATCTTTAGAAGTAGTGAACACCCAGACTGGGACCAGACAAGGAGCCTGGTGCTTCGGAAAGACTCAGAAAGATCCTATGGTAAATATTTCATCAAGATACTGTTGCCTTTTTTTTGTTAATTTCTACTCTACTGATGTTTTTAGGCTGACGTATGAAAATGAAGAATTTGAGTTTGACAATTTCTGTTGTATTATGACAGTACCGTTACTATATATTGGTTTAACTTAACTAACTTAAAAAATTTACTACATTATAGGTACTATAGTATAGGACATAAACTTATCTACATATAGATTTATTCATTCCCTCTTTTTTGGGAATCATTTTGACTTCATAGAAGTCTTCACTCAATACTGCCTAACCCTGTAACCAATAGAGAATTGGTAGCCAAACAGCTACTTCAGTGTGTTAAAGGTTAACTTTCTCCCTGCTGCCTAACCCTGTAACCAATAGAGAATTGGTAGCCAAATGGCTACTTCAGTGTGCTAAAGGTTAACCTTCTCCCTGCTGCCTAACCCTGTAACCAATAGAGAATCGGTAGCCAAATGGCTACTTCAGTGTGCTAAAGGTTAACCTTCTCCCTGCTGCCTAACCCTGTAACCAATAGAGACCCGGTAGCCAAATGCATATGGCTACTTCAGTGTGCTAAAGGTTAACCTTCTCCCTGCTGCCTAACCCTGTAACCAATAGAGAATTGGTAGCCAAATGGCTACTTCACTGTGCTAAAGGTTAACCTTCTCCCTGCTGCCTAACTCTGTAGCCAAATGGCTACTTCAGTTTGCTAAAGGTTAACCTTCTCCCTGCTGCCTAACCCTGTAACCAATAGAGAATTGGTAGCCAAACAGCTACTTCAGTGTGCTAAAGGTTAAATAACCTTCTCTCTGCTGCCTATTCCCATAAGAAATAGGAAAATTAATGGACAAATAGCTACTTTAGTGTCCTAAGGGTTAATCATACATGTTTCTTCCATTCAGGTATCCATCAGCTGTGTACAGGAGTATGAGTACCAGAAGTCCGTGAAGCTTGTTGTGGGGCTACAGACAGGTAGTGGCAGGGGGATGGTCTGTTTACTGGACCCCAACATCAGTAAAGTCATCAAGGCTGTGGACATTCCTCATAAGGTAAGAAACTGTACTGGAAAAGGCTTTATTTCACATTATATCATATACCAACCTGTGATAAGTAAAGGTTAAGGGAGTCCCATAGCCTTTTTTTGAAACGATAAAAACATTGGGCATGGTATTTGAAGTCAGAGCCCATCCCTCTCCTTCCAACACACTTTTATAAGTACTAGTACATAAACTTGTGTTTTTGCTGTGAATGTGAAAGAGAATACTGTGTGTACCTTAAGTTGCTATTCAAGCACCTTACTTAAAATTCCAGAATTTTGTTGCACCTTTTCTCTAATTATGGGTTCACCACACCACGAAGTGGTGGTGAACCCATATTGCTTTGTCTGATGTTTCTTCTCCTCCTTCTCCTTCTCCTTCTTCTCCTGCCATTTTTTAAATGGATTCAGCTTCTTCATTTTAGGGCCTAAGGTCCTGAAATTTGGTATGGAGGTACAGTGGGCAAATACCCCTAGGCGTTTTTTAAATTTTTGTGATACAGGCTTTTAGAATGGTTTTATTTGAGTTTTTTGGCTGTGTTATAGCAAATGTATTACTGTGTTAGTGTGCCGTGTTTACCACGTCTGGGCATGAGTCATCACAATGGAATGCAGGGCATCAACCAATAGGCATGCAGCTTTCCTCTATACTTCTTGCTGATTGGCTGTTGGGATTTAACTTGATTAACACCTGCACAGAGCATTTCCACCTGCACAGAGCATTTCTTGCTGATTGGCTGTTGGGATTTAACTTGATTAACACCTGCACAGAGCATTTCCATACTGACAGTATGTCTTTATTCAAGTGTTTTGGTAGGTATTTCAAGCTTTTCTGCTCCAGCATTGGAATGCGGGGCATGAACGTTTTTTTTATTTTGAAAATCAACAGTTTGCATTATGCAATTAAAAATCCTAACCAATAAAGTAGGGAATAGCTATCCAACTGTTGTTTTAGTTGTATGTTACTTCATATTATAGTTATATCAATGTAAATCATTGTTTTCCCTTGTGTTTCTCATTCTTTCCCTGCCATGTGGTAAAATGTGGTGAACCCATCGCTGTATTTGCTCCAAAGCAAATATTGGCCTTTCTAGTTTTAGTATAGTGCTTTTAAAAAGGGTAGGTGAAGGAAATAATCTGCATTTGCTGGCAAATGTTGACTTTCTAAAACATTTCATGCCTTGTTTTCCACAGCACCCAGGTGACCTCGGTTGAACCCATCACCAATGCTAGCGACATCAGGACCCCTAAAGGCTTCCTCAGCGATTTGCTCTACAAGTTCTTTTTCGGGATTGTTGGGTGTATGAAATATTCAGCATTTGCTGGCAGATGTTCACTTCTTAAACATTTCATCCCATGTTTCCAGGTGACCTCGGTTGAACCCATCACCAATGCTGGCGGCATCAGGACTCCAAATTTTAGTACACTTTTTTATGACTAAGGACTTTTTTGATAAAGGTGATGGAGGAAATGATCTGCATTAGCTGGCAAATGTTGACTTTCTATAATATTTCATCCCTTGTTTTCCCACTACCCAGGTGACCTCGGTTGAACCCATCACCAATGCTGGCGGCATCAGAACTCAAGAACTCCATCAGAACTTTTTTGATAAAGGTGATGTAGGAAATGATCTGCATTAGCTGGCAAATGTTGACTTTCTATAATATTTCATCCCTTGTTTCCCACTACCCAGGTGACCTCGGTTGAACCCATCACCAATGCTGGCGGCATCAGGACTCCAAAAGGCTTCCTCAGCGATCTGCTCTACAAGTTCTTTTTCGGGATCGTTGCCGTGGGAACGGCTGGCGGCCACGCCTACCTGGTTGACATGGCGATGGACCACGAGGAGGAGTCGGACGAGGTCAACCTGAGCCACCTGGAGGTCATCACCATGGAGACCAGAGACCTGGCAGCCAAGAGGGAAAACGCTCTGCAGAGAGGGAGACTCTTTTGTCTGGATATCACTGGTACATGTACAATCAGCACAAGTGTTTGTAACAGGTTTTAATTGTAATTTTGGGAGGATTTTTTGGGCACAATCTTTGCAAGCTGAAAAATGTGAAACCTGTATTTGGCCTACAGCTGATATAGACTATAGTAAAATCAGTTGTAATAATAAAAAAAGATCCATGTAGTCAAAAACTTTTACCATACCTCATGTTAGGCAAATTGTATTTCTCACAGCTGACTGCCACAGAAGAGGAACTTTCTACTACCGCACACCAGATGGGAAAAACATCAACAGCTTTTATTCCTGTAAGCTTACTTTTTTTTCAGTTTTACTTCAAAATAACTTTGTGTTGAGGAATTTAACCTTTAAGATGTTATATCCTTAAAACATGCAAACTACATGTGTTTAAAAAAAAAGTCGGGCTAACAGACTGAACAGTAGATCTTTTTTATAAAGATAAAAAAAATAGATTGTTGACTCTGTTTGTTGGCAGCGAATGTTGCTGTGAGTTCCCTACAGTTCCTGAAGAGAACAGGAACTCTGGCTGTCGGCTACAACTTTGGGCAGTTCCAGCTGTGGAGACTGGCAGGACCTGCCCTGGAGTAAGCTGTGCTGTTTAACTGCTCATATATGTATTTTGTACAATATTTCTAAAGCATACGCATCTTGTAACGTACATGTTTTTGTGTATATTTTCAACAGAACAATTACTGAAGAGTGAAAACATGTCTGACCTCCTCTCTCTACACACAGTTTCAGCAGTAACATAGAGAACAGCACGTCTGCTGTCACACACTTCGCCTACCAGGAGCCTGAAAATGACCCGGGGAACTACTGTTACCTGTGGGTGGCCAGGGGACCGCTACAGACTGACCCAAGGTACGGGGGGGCATTGTTTCAGCTATATATTACATAATAAATGTGTGTTGTCAATTTGTATCAGTTTCTAACCCTCATAATACAGGGAAAAACAAGGGAAAAGATGGAGTTAGGGAATACAGTTCAGACAATGTAGTTTTGCTGACAAACACACACAAAAAAAAGGTTGTGTTTTAATTTTGCAAAGTTTAGGATTTAATCATATATTTTTTTGAATTCTGCAGTCTTAATATAAAACATTCTTAATCACAGTATGTACATATGAAAATATTTTGGTCACAAATAAGAAACATTGCTACTGTGATAGTTGCTTTCCCTACTGCTACATTGATATATACAATAATATTGTAGCAAGTTAACTGTTGTGTCCTATAACAGTGAGGAAGTGGCAGTCTATTGTTGTACCAGATGGGTTGAGATTGCTACAGTGATAGTTACTGCTACATTGATGTATCAGTAATGTTGCCTGTTGTGTTATAACAGTGAGGAAGTGGCGACCAGTCTACTGTTGTACCAGATGGGCTACAGCAGAAAGGAAACCCTGCTGGACAGTAGGGAAGTTCTGTACAAGGTTAGCTGAAATCTCTCTCATTTTTGTTTGGTACAAGCCATAGTTTGAAACAGGTATTTTGAAGGAAGTGTATTTTGGTATGATTTGTGAACCATAATTAAGTTGCAGTCATTATTCTTTTGAGATACAAAATTAATGTAGCTGCTTTTGTTGTGTTTTAAAGAGGGTTTATCTCATGTATGCATGTGTGTACCACTGTGTACATTTTTGTGGGTGAAGTCTGATCTCCATCTCTGATTGTTTGTTTGTTTGTTTGTTTGTTTGTTTGTTTGTTTGTGCAGGAGTTGAGCACGTGCGGCCCCACGTTCCAGCCCAGTTTAGGTCCCACGTCTGAAGGTCCTTCTCCAGGCAGTAGACTGGTGTCATGTTACACCCTGGAGAACCACCACAGCCCTGAGGAGGGGGACAGACACGAGGACTCAGCACTCGAGGAAGAAGGTACTCTCCCTGACCTATCTGACCCATTACCTCTGTGTTTGTGTGTAACTCTAACTCCTACTCCTACGTCTGACTGTGTCCAAAATCATATCCAGTTGCTTGACTGTTGAGTAACTGTTTTACAGCGTATCTGACTCCTACAATCATGTATATTTCAGTCCTGCATGGCCCAGATCTCAGCATTGCTGTGTTTGTGTGGGAGAGCCCAACAGTCGACCCCATGTCTCGCTCACAGTGCAGTCTCGCTGTGTTTGACATCAACCGCTGGTACCACGCACAGATGCCTGTGGTCTTCAGGTACTGCTGTTTCTGTTATATGTACCATGGCAGGCCACATGTAGGTACTGCTGTTTCTGTTATATGTACCATGGCAGGCCACATGTAGGTACTGCTGGTATCACGCACAGATGCCTGTGGCCTTCACGTACTGCTTTTTTAACATATGTTTTATGTTTTCTTAAATTTTCATTTGTTGATCCATATATGTCTGCAAAGGTAGGCAGCTATGATATCATAAAAATAGAAGGTGATACGAAAAATATTGTACATTGCTGCACTTCCTCCGCAGACTGCAAGAGGACCTCGCTGAGCCATGTTCCTTCTTCTCTGTCTTCTCCCTGGAGGATGTAATGGAAACCGCATCACCTGATGTCATGCTGGTACAAAAAATTTCTTTCTTGAGAAAGTCAATAATATCTTCCAAGAAAGAGTAGATAAATCTTAAAGATTTGAGTATGAGTAAAAAATTACTTGCACAGTCGGTTGCACTGGTAGACCAGAGAAAATTAGGTTCACAGCACCAAATATATGTGCACCGACTTGTACATGAAGTGGTAATTTGAGCCCTGTAGGTGGTGCTTCCTAAAGAAAACTGCATAAATGCCTGTTTGTGCATACAAAGTAGACCCAGCTGGGCTGTACCATGTCTGAGTTGGGGGGAAACCGTATGCTACAGGAAGTTGAGGGGAACAGTCTGCTCACATGTCTTACTGTGGACATGGATGGACGTTCAGCCTCATACAACTTTTCTCTCTAAGTATTAGGTTCACTATAGTATTGTTGCATTGATAATGAAGTAGATTTGATACTGAAAATGGCTCCTTTATGCTGAAAATTTCTCTGTCCTTTGTACTGACTACATCTTAATTAATACTGAAAATGTCTGTCCTTGGTACTGAAAATGTCTTTATCCTTGGTACTGAAAAATTCTCTTTCGCCCCCATTACTGACAATGCCTCTCCTTTCTCTTTCCTTGGTACTGAAAATGTCTCCTTCATACCAAAAATGTCTCTGTCCTTTGTACTTATAATGTCTGTCCTTGGTACTGAAAATTTCTCCTTGGTACTAAAATGTCTCCTTAGTACTGAAAATGTCTGTCCTTGGTACTGAAAATGCCTCTATGGTACTTAAAATGCCTCTATGGTACTGAAAATGCCTCTATGGTACTGAAAATGCCTCTATGGTACTGAAAATTTATCATTTATACTAAAATCATCTTTCTTTGGTACAGAAAACCCCTATATACTAATGGTTCCTAAAAGAATGAGAATGTCTTTATAATTGGTACTAAAAATGCCTCTGTCCTTAAACTGAAGTTTATCTGAAGATGTTCCTTCCTTTCTGACAGGATCTGTTTATCGACCCGCTGTCGATCTCGAGGTTTGTTTCCAATGTTCAAGCCCTGAAAATGCCTCTGCCCTTAGTACTGAAATTCCTCCTTTGTACTGAAATGTCTCTACCCTTTAACTGAAGTTAACCTGAAGATTTTGTTTGCTGACAGGACCTGTTTATTGACCCACTGTCCATCTCGAGGTTTGTGTCCAACGTCAGCCCGGCTCCAGACCAGTTCTACTTCCCCTCCGCGCTCAGCTTCTGTAAGTTAACATTTTAATTCTATCTTACATATTTGTAGGGGCTTAAAGTTAAATATTCATCTTAACCCTCTCCATGTTCATGTACATTGTAGTATATTGGCACCACATCTGAGTAAGTAATATGAAATAAAAATTATGATTGGTAAATATGACAAGAAACTAGAATTTTCATAAAAAAAACAAGGTTGGACATGACAAAATATGCCACAAATAGTTATTCATCTTAATGATTTTTTGTAGATACCATTATACAATCCAAAACATTCAGGATGCATGGATGTGATAATATGTGGAAGAATTGCAATTCCTATTTTCTATAAATCTGAGAATACTAACTTAAGTCATTGTTTTATTGTAGCCACCTGCTGTTTAATGGAGACTGGACTGGTCCACTGCAGCTTCCACGGGCTTCAGAAAAAGGTAGGAAAAAGCAACAAACAAAAAGAAAAAATAGTGGAAATCATTCACAGAAATATGATAAAAAGACAAAAGATGAAATGCATACAAAGTAGACCCGGCCGGGCTGTACCATGTCTGAGTTGGGGGGAAGCCGTATGCTACAGGAAGTTGAGGGGAACAGTCTGCTCACATGTCTTACTGTTGACATGGATGGAAGTTCAGCCTCATACAATGTGAGCAATAGAAAAACACATTATACAGAATGTAACCTGTGACCTCTGTAGACTGACTTTTTGCCACGACCTTGACCTCTGCAGACACATCTGACCTTGACCTCTACAGATTCAGACTGTTAACATAACCTTGGTCTCTGCAGACTGTTTGACCTTGACCTCTGCAGGCTTATCTGACCTTGACATTTGCATAGTCTTACCTTAACCATGACCTTGACCCTTGCAGGATATGTCTGACCTTTGCCATGACCTTGACCCCTTTAGGTGCTGTCACAATCATAACGTTGACCCCTTCAGAAGCTGTGTGACCTTTGTCGTGACCTTGTCTGACCTTTGCCATGACCTTGACCCCTTTAGGCGCTGTCTGACCTGTGTAAGCAGGGTCCGTCGGCCATGTTGACCCCCCATCACCACGTGGGCGCCTGTCTGGCTGCAGGGCTGCTGCCCAGGAACATGGAGGGGTCTGCTAACATGGCTGTGGTGAGTAAGGGATATGTACTAGAGTTTCACCTAAACATTTTATACTTGATGTCTACTAAGTTAATTCCACCATACAACTGTATATCTGTCACCCAGAAAAAATGCATCTAAAAGTGATCTGTATTGCAATGTGTAATGCAATCCTGCATGATATAGAAAATATTTAATTCTGTCAAACATACATACTTTTAAACTGAATCTCCTGTGTTTTTCTGTTCACATACATGTATTCTACCTTACCTCATACTCCTTTAGGACATACAATGTCCAATCCTTTGAATCCGTTGAAGTCTTTTCACAAAGAGAGAGAGGGAACAAGAAGCAAAATAAAGGGAAAGAAAGGAGAAAGAGAGAATAAATACACAGCCCTATAGTTAAAAAATGTACATAATATTCTGTGCTAGCCTTTGCTGTATGATTTTGCCTTTTGATTTCCTTTGTGTTGTGTTTCCTTTGCCAGAGTACTGATCAGATGCTTTTCTGTACTCACAGGACTATAGAGAAAGGAGAAAAAAGAGAATATTATCCCTATAGTTACACAATGTACAGAATATTGTGTGCCTTTGCTGTATGATTTTGCCTGTTGATTTCCTTTGTGTTGTTCCTTCCTGTGTCCCTGATGCTCAGCTACACAGAGTTTACAGTCAGGGCAGGGCCGGTAAGGCAGGCCAACATAAGACTGACAAGGGGGAACAGGTAAAACATCTAACAACAACAACAACCCCCCTCCCCCCTTCCTGGTGTCTGTCTAGCCTTGTAACATTGTGGGAGCCTTATTGTACATCCAGAACCGTGCCTGTCCAGTTCTGTGCATGACTGGGTCAGGGTTAGGATCATGTATAGTTCTGGATACACTTAGATTACAGTATCCAGAACCCTGCTTATCATAGTTCTGTGCGTGACTGGGTTAGGATCTCAGGCACGGTTTTGGATAAGCTTCATTGGACTACAATATCCAGAAAAGTGTCTGAGCATGGCTTGGCTCTATGTACATATAACCACTTGAGAAAGCCCTGTCTAATGTGCATGCATCTAAGTGTCATCCCAGTACACAATTCTTTGAAAGGTGTAAGGACACCCACTATAAAATCTCATAACTAATGCATTACCAGGGTGAGAAACTTGGTAACGGATGACCCTAAGACTTGGTATAATTTAAAGGGAAACTGACCACTAAAATGTTCTCTCATCCACTGCACACTGCTAAAATCCACGCACACGTCTCTCAGTATAGCAGTAAGCACTGTCAGTTATCTGTAAACTACATTATATCAGTCTGCTTGGTGTCAAACCCCCACACGTTGTGTTGTGTTGTGTGTGTGTTGGTCAATTAATTTAAGAAATGTACAATTTTGTGTTGCTGTGACATTTTCTACATGCAAAGAAGAAACTCCCATCAAAAGAGTAAAGTAAACAGTAAAAGAAAAACTTAGAAGTAAAATATGTCTTTCTCGAAACAGCTTTATGTACAATGTACATCAAGTAGTAACCTAACTAATTCCACCAGGTCATCTACAATATGTATATCCATGCACCACCATGAGAAATATGCCTGAGAGAATTATATCTGAACTGTGCACTCCTCTAACACAGCATGATGTGACTGTAAGAGAAGTTCTGCTAAAAGTATAATGTTGTTTCCCTGTCCTGTTTTCCCCAGACTGCCCAGAGAGAAACGTTACTGAGTGTCGCTCTGGACCACAACCTGGTCGGGTTCCTGACTTCCTGCATCACTCAGTGGGCAGAAGGAGGTCAGTCTTAAAGGAACTACAGTCTTAAAGGAACAAGCATCTTCTTATTGGAGTTTCTATTTTGCTAGTTGAGGTTCTCCTCAAAGGCAATAAGTGAATGTCATCGTCAGTTGACAGTAACCCTTATAATGTGATGCTTGGTTGAATTCTTCAAAGAATATAATCATTGTTTTTATCCTGATAACTTACCTGGAAGCATATGACAAAGAACATAGTCCCAAATCACTTTTAGAAGAGAAATTAGAAAAAAAAAATTAGGAAGGGGTCAAAAGATGGGACCAAAGATCAATATATATTGATGAGACTTACATTCGCTTTCTTATATTTTATAATGTTCTGTGAAACATATTGAATATAAAATGTACTGTATTAGTCTTACTGCTTTGCGTGTACTAATGATGTCACATGTCTGCGTGTACCTTGTTCCCCAGAATATTCTACAAAAATATATTTACTTTTTCCTTCAGAATATGCCCATGCAGGCTGCACCCTCAGAACTGTGCTAGACTGGGCCTGGAACAAAGTCGCCTCCATCAAGTTTTCTCTGGATAAAACTTGTAAGTCTTGTACACATAGATATAAATTTTACCCCTGGTCTTACTTGAATGTTACAAGACTGGGAACCACTATGTACCGAGTTTACATTTTAATTAAGACCATCATTAGATACAGCTGTAAACAATGTTTAGAGTTAGATGTTCAAGGGTTAGGTGTAACAAGTCGTTTGGTGTGATGTAGCCAGCTGCCGCCACAATGCCACGTGCCTGCAAAGCTGGTGTGTTACGCTGAAGGTTGCTTATACCGGCTATACAGATACAGAAGCTGGTGTGTTACGCTGAAGTGCGGTCATACCGGCTGTACAGATACAGATACAGGACTGTCCTAACCTATGTTGCTCTTACCTTGTCAGGTGTCCCTCTTTACGATGGTTCTGGAGGCATCCTAGACCAGCAGACCTTGCAGCTGCTGGACCATCATGCTTTGCAGCTGAATCACATGGTGACAGTGTTCCACACCCTGGCACTGCAGCCGGCTCCTACTACTGAACAAGGTAGGAACCTAACCCTTCAACTATAACCCTTCACCTCTGACCCTTCACCTCTAACCCTTCACACCTAACCTCTAAACCTGCCACTGCAGCCTGCTCCTACTACTGAGCAAGGTGAGATTCTTAAATCTTTAACATCTTGTGAATGTAACTGAGAATGTCTCAGTCATGATGAAAGGCTGCAAGGTGTCTGACCCTTTAGAGAATTCATCCAGTAAGTTTTGTTGTTTGATTTATATGTTTATCATTGTTAGTATGTTTGTGGTTTGGTGTTTAATTTCTTAGCTTGAACTCATCTGACAGTGTGTTAACTGGGTAGAAATCATCCTGAAGCAAAAAAGTTGAACTGTCATGTCCAGCACAAAAATTAGACAAATTTTCAACTGCCCAACAATTCCTAGGAAAAAGCAATCCACTGCTTCTGTGACATCACACTAGACTGACAAATTACAAGGGCCTAAAACAATTGTGGCAAAATACTGATATAACAACTTGAAGTTTTGGTTTTAAGATTTAGGATATTTTTGTTGTTTTGTATGATGAAGAAATTGTGTCCATTGGCCTGCAACAAATGAAATGGAGCCTGTAGAATAGTTCCTGTACTTGAAAATTAAAAAGGCTAACACAATAAAAAGAAATGATTCTGTTTTTAATTCCTGAAGGTCTGAAAGACCTGGAGACCAAGCTGACTGTTGTGACTCTGATCTCCCAACACCTGCAAGTGGTTCTGTGGTTTATTAGGAACAAGCTGCTGCCGGAATGTGTCGGTAAGTACAAAAGTTGTTACATCAGTGTTCTAGCTAGGCCGTTTTAGCATAGGGCCCCTGTACATGTATGCTGTGAGTTTGGCCCGCTTATAATGCTCTGATTTAGGCCCCTGTGTGTCGGTAAGTACAAAAGTCATTTACATCAGAGTCCATCAACCCTCTCTGTGTGACGGTGGGAGATTCCGTCTTCCCGCCACATTTGATGCACTCAGGGTCAGTGAGTGCATCACACATCTGATGAAGGTTGATGAGGTCGACCAAAAATTTATGGTGGGTTCCCATTTTGTGTTGGAACAAAGCTTGAACTTTACGACTTTAGTAACTGTTGTTGTTTACTGCTTCAGCAAAACAAGCAAACATGTCCGTAACCACAACATAGACTGTGTAGAATGAATGAATGTTGTATGTTGACTTTATTATGATCTTACAATAGTTCCTGGGCTTTCCTCCAAAGCTCATTAAATGTACAACTGTTACAATTATTACATTTATAATCAGGTTTTATATTGAATTTCCATCTATCTATTCATCTGCTTCATGCATATTTGCAAGCAAAGCAAATGGTACGTTTTTCTCTCTTAAGTTTCTTAATATCATTCCTGTGCAACTTAGAGAATGTAGTATACATTGTATAACAGCCAGATCTCTAAGAGATATCCTAGGTTAATACAGGTCATAGCTCTGCAGCTTTCTACGTTTGATTCTATTTATTTTACGACCAAAGTTTGTAGCCCGGAACTCCACAAATTCTACAATTTTGGCAGGAAAACTACCCAGAAACTGCCAGACAGAAATGATCGCCCAGCCATCTTTCACACACAGTTAGATGAATGATCAATAATAATAGTGTCAGCTGTCGTCAGTGATAAATTGTAGTGCAGAAGTCCACAAATTCTAGTATTTTGGCAGGAAAACTGCTCAGAAACTGCCCCAAACTGCCAGACAGAAATGATCTTTCATACCCGGTTAGATTAGGAGGACAATATGGGCAGAAATCTATTCTGAATGATCAATAATAATACTGAGCTGTCATCGGTGATGAATTGTTCACCATCTGTGCTCAGACTGTTTATGATTCATAATTGAGAGGTAAGTCATTTTTCTGGCACTGTTTTTGTGGGGCTGGGAATTCAACTTGGGAATTATATGATAAAATATTATTATTCAATTTTGGTGTACAGAAAAAATGGGGTGCACACGTAACATAAAGTAGAATGTCAGATATACTAGTACCTACTGCCTCTCTTCATAGGTTGACTATGATTATTGTATTGCTTCCTTACTTGATTAGTCAATACTTGCAGATGTGTTTGGTGTTACTGCAAAGCTGGTATGTTATATACATTACGCACGAGCAGTTTTCTATCTGATACAGAATTGTACTCATCTGTATATTGCTATATAAATTATTATAATTATTACATGGTATCATAGTAGAACCTCACTAGCATATGGTGCTCTAAAGTTCTGTGTAACTATTTTTATATATTATACAGTCATGTATAGAAGTTCTGGTCCATGGTACCCTACGACATACATGTAACATATAGGCTGCATAGTTCACATAGTCATATTTAGCCTGCAAATTACACCTTACAGTCTGGTCTCAGGTTTAACATCTTTGAAAAGTGATAGTCACCTGTTACATGTATGTCAGTCCTTCCACCAAAGTGGTAAATAGATAAGTTACCAAGTGCGATACTTTCTGAAATTCTCTCAGTTTAATTCCTAAGATGGTCCTCCTTCATTTGCTCCATCTTGCCCTTGAAGTCTCGTGACCTGATCATCATCTTGGTCTTCTTTAAGAGATGGTACCAGCCTTTCCAGTGTCTCCAGAACAGGGCAAAGCCGGTCGACCCGGCGCGGTAGTACTCAGGTCGGTAGTACGGGCCGTTCAGGTTGGAGAAACTGCAGTAGTTGAACCACCTGAAAGTGGTAAGGTGGTCTTTTGGTTAATGTGGTTCACTTAGAATCTGAATAATTATGTTTGGGGTTTGAATCCCAAATGCTGGTAGCAGGCCCCAAGTTGGGGTCTGGTGGTCTTGTGGTTAATGTTGTTGACTTAATTAGTATTAGTAGTACGGGCCGTTCAGGTTGGAGAAACTGCAGTAGTTGAACCACCTGAAAGTGGCATAGAGATCTCGTGGTTTTATAATGGTTGTTAACTTAAGGTCTGAATCTAAAGGTTTTGGGTTCGAGTCCCTAGCAGGCTACAATGTTTTGGACAAGTGGGGCTTGTGGTTAGGGTTGTTGACTTACTGATCTAAAATATTTTCCTGTACTCAGGTCGGTAGTACGGGCCGTTCAGGTTGGAGAAACTGCAGTAGTTGAACCACCTGAAAGTGGTAAGGCAGCCTTGTGGTTGGGATTTTTTGGTTGGGAGTTAGAATCTAAAGGTTCTGGGTTGGAATCCCTAGCAGGCTACTAGTAGTATGTTTACAATGTTGGAGAGAAGGTGGTCTTATGGTTAGGGTTGTTGACTAGTAGAATCAAAAGGTTGTTGGTTCGAATCCCTATCAGATTAGGCCTGGCCTTGTGGTTAGGGTTGTTGATGTAGAATCATTGAGGTTTTATGGGTTCGAATCCTTAGCAGGCCACAATGTTGGGGACATGTGGTCTTATTAGGGTTGTTGACTCAGAATCTAGCAGGAAAAACAAACCCACTCACCACCCCCCTGCCAGCTGGGTAGCACAGGACCCCCCTGCCTTCCGTCCCATTATCCACACAAACAAACAAACCCACTCACCACCCCCCTGCCAGCTGAGTAGCACAGGACCCCCCTGCCTTCCCGTCCCGATCGACGTCTCGGCTGCTAAACTGGCGACCATTGCTGTAGGACATGGAGTCACTCGCATTGCCGCTGAACCTTCGGGGGACAAGTAAAAGTCTTATGAAAGTCTCGTGAAAGAGAAGTGAACAAACTACAGTCTACTGCTTTCTTTATTAGTTTTGTACACTAGGTTACCAGCCCCTCCAACCCTGTCCTGCCACTTGCTACAAACATGTACTGTAACCTAAATCCAGAGGGTATCTGCTACAGCACCAGTTACCATGGTGACAGACGTCTGATCCAGGTCATTGACCTCATTTGTTTGGAGGAGAAGAAGAAGAACCAGAGTGAAAACAATATGATTTCTATCTGCAAAGGTTTTAATTAACAAATAATTTACCCAGCAATATAATGCTCTGCTCTGTAGTAGCCAAAACAGACACTGACATTACAGTTTTCAATCTGAATTTCTGCACTCATGGCATTCTGATTTTACTCTGTGAATGAACGAACTACAATTGTACTTTATTGCTTGACAGTTGTACATTGTACAGTGTATGGCAACAATGGCAATGTGATCAATACAGTAAGTCTATTCTAAGAAACTATTACTACAGGAATATGAACATAAACGGCTTTGTTGATGTTATTTGAAACAAACAAACAAAGACCTTACCCAGCGATGCTGAGTCTGTAGTAGTCTGTCTCATCGCCAAGCATGACGTCATCATACAGGGCGTACGCCCGGTCTCCCTGGAAGTCCTCAATGTCAATACGCAACGAATACCGGCCCTGCGACAGCACCTGGGGGTAGGGGAAGTAAAAAATGATTTTGTGGATGATTGTCTTTTAGACATCCAGGTAGAACATGAATAATAGGAAATATGAATCAAGCTAGAGCTGGATAATATTTCCTGAGGATCCAAGTCAGATGTTGGAAGCATCTGCTGTCTTTCATCCGTGATAAATTGTTTAGTGAAAGTCTTAAATCAGTTCTTAGGTCATTTGAGGTAACTCTTCCACTAGTTATGAAAGAGAATGCAGATACTTTGTATTTACAGGTTCATTGTACGAAGGAACTTTTCCTAGCTCTTTCCAACAAGTACAAATGAATGCTGTTCGAAAGTGTTCCTAAGGACTGCGATCCTTTACAGTAGTGTGCATGTCGAGTGAGTGACTACAGCTGGGATTCAAACTCATGACCTGTTGGTCCAGAGGCAGGGTAGCTAACCACTCGTACCTGATGTATCTTCTCGAGTCCCAGCCAGTGCTCTTTGGAGTGGTTTCCAAAACCGTCGCGATAGTCGTCCCAGTTCCGGTGGAAGTTCAGCTGCCCGTTGTACCTGAAAGTCAGATAGAGAAGGGACACTGGCACTGGACCAAGACTTAGTGAAATGTTAAGATGGAGAAAAAACGAGATGTCAAGAGAGAGAGAGAGAGAGAGAGAGAAGGGATAGAAAGCTCTACAATAATGATGTAATAAATAAATAGATACTTTTAAAGAATAGTTTATTGTTCCCCAACAGTTACATGTGTAAATACACAAGTTCTTTAGACCTTTATTAGAGGTACATTTGGTTAAGATATATTTAGATGAAACCTAGGGAGGTCCCTAACCCTAACCCCAACCTTTTGCTTTTAGGTTACTTAATACAATGTTAAGTAACTACGTATTACCTACATTTACAATGTAGTACATACCTTCAATGTGTAATTAGAAGTAAATGAGGTACTTATTACCTGCGTTGGATGACTGTCCATCCTCCCCCATCTGTCTTCATGTCACAGTACACAGGGAAGGGTCTGTCCATGCCCCATGGTTTAATGTTGTACACACCATCATGGATAGCTCCAAACCAGTACAACACCCCATACACACCTAGTACAACACACACCAGACTGTGTAACATAGCTGTAACATGTCATACAAAATGTAGTACGCAGGGAAGGGTCTGTCCATGCCCCACGGTTTGATGTTGTACACACCATCATGGATAGCTCCAAACCAGTACAACACTCCATACACACCTAGTACAACACACACCAGACTGTGTAACATAGCTGTAACATAGCTGTAACATGTCACAGTACACAGGGAAGGGTCTGTCCATGCCCCATGGTTTAATGTTGTACACACCGTCATGGATAGCTCCAAACCAGTACAACACTCCATACACACCTAGTACAACACACACCAGACTGTGTAACATAGCTGTAACATGTCACAGTTTACAGTAATGTTTTGATGAAAGAAAGCTCCAAAACCTGTGTACAACACTCCTTCAGCATGTTTAAGAACCCACCAAACTTTATTACCTGTGCAGTCATCATATGTTGGTACGGGATTGTCCCCAGGTACTGGCCGATGGTGGCCAACTGGCTGGTCATCATACTCTTCTTGGGCTGCAGGAAAGAACACAGAAATCAAAAGAGGTTAATTGTTTTTTTACTAAAAGGAAAGATTGACATAACACCTTAAGTTTTCAAGATGATAGATGATACAGAGATCTCTTGTACATGCAGGTTTGACTGAAATTATAAGGAATTGAAAAACTGAGCTTGCTCGTTACAAGGGTATGTGCTTGCAAGACTTTATGGCAGCTTGACTGAAAATCTTTAGTAAGAATGTACATGTACAACAAACAAATTACAAGGAAAGTTGAGCTTGCTCCTTACCAGGGCACTTGCAGAACTTGAGCTGCCCAGCTGCTTGACTGAGCTTTAGAATACCCATTTTGTAGACTAAGTATATGGTGGCTCATTTAGCACCTACAAATTACAACAACTTGAAGCAAATTACAGGAAAATCAGATTAGATGTCTTAACTCCATGGTGAGCAAAGCCAACCGTAGACTTTACCTGGTGCGAGTGCTAAAGAAGTATGGACTTGGTGATAATGACTTGATTCTAGTTTTCTGCGGTTTTGTAAGACCACTACTAGAGTACGCCTGCCCCGTGTGGCACCCAGGCATCACCTCTGTTCAGTCTAGACACATAGAGTCTGTGCAAAGGCGAGCATGTAGAATTGTATTGGGTAAGAACTACGTCAACTATGATGCTGCCCTAGGCCAGCTGTCCCTTACCTCTCTGTACCAGAGACGAGTCCTACTCTGTAAGAAGTTTGCAGTGTCTTTATCAAGATCCCCTACTTTCTCCAGTTGGTTACCGCCTACACGTGCAATTGTACATGGCAGAGAACTCAGGTCCAAAAATCAAATCAGTCAATTTAGCTGCAGAACATCGAGATTTAAGAACAGTACTTTACCTTTCATTGTAAAGTTACTAAATGATAGTTGACATGTTCATTGTGTAAGTCATGGTTGTATTGAATCGTTATAGCTGATTTTATATTGTTTAACATTGTTGTATTGAATCGTTATACATTGTAGCTGATTTTATATTGTTTAAATGTAAACAATAACCACAATTCAGCCGAAGGGCTGCTATGGTATTGTATTTGTATTTGTATTTGTGTGAAATAAATAAACCAGTCATAATAATAATAATAACTTGTTTAGAGTATACAGTTTGTAGTCAGTTTGAACTTTGAAGATTCCTTACCAGGACATTTGCATGACTTGAGCTGGCCGGCAGCCTGACACAGCTCCTCTAAGATCTCGTTCCCCAGACTGTCCTCCTCTGCAGCAGAGCCGGAGTGTTCCTCAGTCCCCACCTTCACTAGCTGGTACCTGGGGTGGTGTAGTAGTTACGTCTGCAGTTACTTATAACTGTTGTAGTTTAGTTTTAAATTAGTAGTAAACTGTAGTTTTTAGCTAGCTGCACTAGCAGTAGTACAAATGTATGTGTAGTAGAATGGTTTATTTCACATTTTCACCCCTAAGGCTATATTGTCATATTGCTACATAACAAGGCACATTATACAATGGTCCCGGAGCATGTTGCATTTACTAAGTGCATCGTTTTGTACTAGGCATTTACAAGGCGCAACATAAAAATTGGTATTTCCGTGCCATGTTTGAACACATATTATAATATAATAAATATAAGGTAACCATTTCAGATTTTTTGCACACTTCAAATGCAGTATAAATTAAATATTATGATAATGCATCAAAAACTTATTCCACATAATTATCACTCAGTTTACTTCATTATTATTTTTAAGCGATAGCCATCACCTGCGCAGTTTCTTGCAGGCTGACCGGATGGTTTTGATCCGATGATGGTCTGCTTCGTCCTTCTGGTCTTTGGCATCGTTTAGGAAGCAGAACACTCCTCCAAGGAGTAAAACACTGGAAATATTGGACAAAATGAGAGATTTAAGTTTTGTAACTTATGGAAAATATTTAGAATTATTGTGAATTTATTGGCCCAGCCAAAGAGATGGTCTTGATCATCTAAAAAAATATTCGGTATCATTTAAGACACTTTAACTTTTTAGTTTAAGCGAAAAAACAAGATAATGCTCAAAAATAGTTTTGAAAATTTGATGCCAATATATATTTTGTCTAATTCTTACTGTAACAGAAATTGATATAAGTAAAACCCTTAAACAGTCTACATTAATAAAAAATAAGAAAAGTAGTCCAAGACATTCGTTCTTTCTTCTTCGTATTCTAAAGGTGAAAGGTATGTTGCACCTAAATGCATGACTGTTCATCTGTTATAGGAATTGAAAGTTAGACCTCACTTACCTGAAAATGAGTCCCACCCCTCTCATGACAACTGCTTTGTCAACTGCCTTCCCCAACATAAACGGTTAGGTTTTCCCAGACCAGTCCAGCCCAGCCAGACTGTCCCAGAACTAATAGTGATACGCTTGAATGGTAGACTGCCCCCAATTCCGCCGCAGTTCAGTTCCCAGGCACAGGAGAACCAACTGGTGTCCCATCGCTCATTTTCTGATGGCTCACGGTCAATAAATATCTGCTAATGGGAAAACTATGTCGGGGATGGACATGGTCTACTGTAAGGTGGAAAATTTGATTGTTTTAGTATGCATTGAGTGAGTTTAGTATTTCCTCTGAATTTCCTCAGGGTAATGCAAATACATTGTAGTACATTTTGTAGAATGTACGGTCACAATACTTTGAGATTGCAAAGTACATGATTGTATGTCTGGCTAAAGATTTAAAGGCTAAGTAGTGTGTCCTTTCCTCTGTGCTTTCTACTTCAATATGGCAAAAAGTTGGCCACAATGTTATTTTTTGGTCATACTATCGATAGCCTTTTGGGAGGCCTGATGGAGGCTACTACTTTTGCGGGATTCTACTATCCATAACCCCTTAGAAAGGCCTGGTGGCGGCTACATGTATGTGATACTGTCCATAACCCTTAGGAAGGCCTGGTGGAGGCTATGTGCTACTATCCATAACCCTTAGGAAGGCCTGGTGGAGGCTACATGTACATGTATGTGGTACTATCCATAGCCCTTATGAAGGCCTGGTGGAGGCATGTGATACTATCCACAACCCCTTAGAAAGGCCTGGTGGAGGCTATGACACTTATCCTTAACCCTTAGAAAGGCCTGGTGGAGGCTATGACACTATCCTTAACCCTTAGAAAGGCCTGGTGGAGGCTATGTGCTACTAGCCATAACCCCTTAGAAAGGCCTGGTGGAGGCTATGTGGTATTATCCATAACCCTTAGGAAGGCCTGGTGGAGGCTATTTAGTACTATCTATAACCCTTAGAAAGGCCTGGTGGAGGCTATATGCTACTATCCATAACCCCTTAGGAAGGCCTGGTGGAGGCTACAGCAAATCAGTAACACTGATTAAAACCCTGACCTACATATAAAGATGCAGACAGATAGCATTAGTTCAGCAGGGCAAGGCTACAGTTTGTACGTATGTACAGGGTATGTAGGTAATGGTCTAGCCATGTTGACCCACTTTCTGAGGACTGTCTATATAGGGTTAAGGTTAGGGTTAGGGTTAACTTTCAATTGAAATATCTCGGCAAGGGCAACAATTGTCTTAAGCTAGATGCATGTACTTGCACAAAAAAATGTACCTTCACCCAGAAGGTTATTTTTAATCAGCTGCATTTGTTACCTTCATGGTGAATGCAGGTATTGTTGTAGGTGATATTGTTAAAATATTATATACTATTTATTAGACTTATTTTATAATATTTAAGCTGTTAATACATGTATTATTAAGTAATAAATATGAGTAACAAATTCTTGATGCACAGCAATCCTTTGCTTTAATGTAATACATGACATTGTACATGTATTATTATGTATTAATGTTTATTACTTTGCTAGAAAAGATAGAAAAGAAAACTCACAGATGAATATAAATCCATTCAAACAGATACTTTTATTAACGCTATCCAAATTTGACATGAATACGCACACATCTCTTTCACTAGTTAGTAAGAGCTTTTACAGCTTCACTGTTAGCCTTTGAGTGAAAGAAGAATCCGCATTTCATTTACAGTTTACGGATAAAGTTTTGAGGTCGCACCATCATCTTGGTGGCCTTCAGTGAGTAGTAGCCACCTTTCCAGTGATACCAGAAAACACCAAACCCTGTGTCAGTACCATGATAGTCCTCTGGCTGGTAGTAGGGACCATTCAGGGCAGAGTAACCACAACCAGCATACCACCAGCCACCTGACAAGTACTGAGCACAGTGAGCACTACTGCGGTCATTGTCCACATCTCTAGCACTGAATTTCTTACTGTTATGGTGACCCATTATAGAGTCTCCAGCATCCCCACTGTACCCCCCAATGTTCAGTGTATAATCTGTACTCTCATCCCCAATGCTGAATGTACCATATTTAGCATGAGCAAAGTTCCCTTCCCAATCCTGTAACTCCACATACAACTCATAGCTATTCTGGGATGTCAGGTTGTGAATTTTATCCAGTCCAAGCCAGTGTTCCCCCTCGACCCTCCCAAACCCAGTTTTGTAGTCTGACCAACGCCTGTCAAAGTTCAGTCTCCCTTCAAACCTCCTCTGTATGACAGTCCAGCCCCCACCATCTGTAGTCATGTCACAGTAGACGTCAAAGTGGTCGGTGGAAGACTCAGGTTTGATGGGGAAGACTCCGTCCTGCACTGTGTTGGTCCAGTAGAGTACAGCATAGAGATCTGCACAGTCCTCAAAGTTAGCAGCACCGGGGGGAGGGGGGTCGTTTCTCTGGCCGTTCAAACGTTCATCTGTAACAACAGTCAACATACGCAATTTTATTGGTTGACAAGCAACAGAAAACCTACACGTATGTATAGGCACATACATGTACACTGTCTCACAATATTACTTACATGTACATGGAATTGCCCAACTTTTTCTTGTAAAAAAACTTGTCTCCCTCTTTCCTCTGAACTTTTATCCCAAATGTAAAGAAGAAAAACTTCAGGGGTAAAATTAAAGAGGTCAAACTAGTGGAGATCTAAACAATTGAAACAAACAAAAAACACTGAAATTGATGAAGCATTTATCCCTGAGGCCCATGTTGTAAAGCCGCATTCTTAGGGTACGTTGCAAAACTATTCTAGGTGTACACTATAGTACCTTGAGCAGCTTGTGGTTGAGGAATCTCAGCAGAAAACGTGACGCTGCCAGCCACAAGCAACATAACAGTCACCAGACTGAAGGTCAGGCCGGACTAAAATGAATTAACAAAGGGTGATGAATTACATGTACGTACAGCATTCCAAAAACTGTTACTCAAGCAACTCCGGATATGATATCGGAAAAAGCTAAAATATGTAGTGTCACTGGACTGTACAGGTTACTAATAAGATAAAATAAGATATTATAAAGGCTTAATTTGACTCACCTTTGGTTTGATGCTAGAAGTCATCCTTGGATCTGTCTCCTGTCCACTTCTGCAGGTACAGTAGTGTTCTACCTGGGCAGGTTGTACCACTTTTATAGCCGCAGCAAACTTGTTTTTCTGTCAGATCTGCTGATGCTTACAGGATAGGAGCTATAATTATAATTCCTGTGGACTCAAAGGGCTGTTCTTCCTCTGCATTTTTGAGTTGTCAATAGTCTCCAAAGGCAAAATAGATGGCCTTTTTTAAAGTTCGTGTGACGGGACCATCTGTTAATTACATTAGAGATAGCCTATCTAACTAGCGGTAACTATGCAGAATTTTTTACCTTAATTAAATATCTTAACTACGTGCCTTTGAGGTTTATCCTTGCTTGTGTGCTTTATAATACCGAGTCAGTCAAAGTCTATTGCGCAACAATAAACAGGTACAAAGTGTTTAAAATTTAATAATGATTATGGTATAAATCTAAGGAATTGTATTTACATAATATTAAGTACAATATAACAAGAAACTAGAAATTTATTCAGAGCTTGACAATATTAAGAGAAGACATAACAAAGTGTAAGGCATAGAGTTTTAACTGACATACATATTATGCATATGTAGACTATTGACTAGTTTATCTAGTACAATATAACTTTACAATGTACAGTACATGTTGTTTGTTATGTTGGGTTGACATGTATTCTCACATATACATGAGCACCGAGGTCTCTACCCTGTTTAAATAAAACAGAAATAAATAAAAAAAAATGTTCTTGTACCTACAGTACAGAGGGCTATGCACCCCCTATGAGGGAAGAATTTTGCTACAAAGCTGCCACACTAGTACAGAACTACAGTGGGCACATAGTGATACACATGTACATGTTGCTTTTTTTGTGTCAATGTTCCCTGTACATGTAACTTCATGTATGTGTCTCTACAGAGGGTTATGCACCCCCTATGAGGGAGGAGTTTTGCTACAAAGCTGCCACACTGGCACAGAACTACAGAATGTACTGTTGGCACATGCAACATGCATGTACATGTTGTTTCTTGAGTCTTCATGAAATTATGTACACTGTGTTTGTATGTGTCTCTACAGAGGGTTATGCACCCCCTATGAGGGAGGAATTTTGCTACAAGGCAGCCACACTGGCACAGAACTACAGAAACAGAAGGGCAGAGCTAGCCAGGATAGTCGGGTAAATACAAAATTTACAATATTTTATTAAAAACCTTGTTCAATCCCCCTAATGTATAATAGTTTACTTGCCTCCGTCTTTTGAAGGTTATAATAATGTTTACTTGCCCGGTCACCCAACATGTTAGATTGACATAGTAATGCACTCTTTATACTAACATAGTACATGTACACATGCATGTCAGGGCCACTTCTGCCACGTGGTATGTATCTGTATTATGAAGCCAACAGAGAATTGCTATACACTCTACTGCTACAAATTTACAATAATGATTGTGCTATGCTGAGAATTAGGGCCTGAGGCCACATTTGTTGTATCCTGAATATTAGTGTAATGATAATTTATGTAAATTATGAATGTTAATGCATACATTGTACAGTACTAGTGTACCTTCCTACAAGCTCTTTTTTACCTTCGCCAAGAAGGTTATGTTTTCAGGGGCGTTCGTGTATGTGTGTGTTTGTGTGTGTGTGTGTGTGTCTGTAAACACGATAACTTGAGAAGGCCTTGATGGATTGTCTTGATACTTGGTAGGTGGATAGGTCTTGATGAGACCTCAAAATGATTAGATTTTGGACCCCCTAGCGGCTTGTTATGGTATTGCAGCTGAACTTCCGGTTTTGATATCTCATGATCTAGACATGCTATGGTGATGAAATTTGGATGGTAGGTAGCTCTTGTGCTGGGGAAGAAGTGACGTGAGTTTAGGCCCCCTAGCGGCTTGCTCTGGAACTGCAGGGATATATTCTTGAAAATATTCAAAAGGGGATAACTCAAGAACCAGTTGACGGATCGTTGTGGTTTTTGGTATGTAGGTAGCTTACGTGATGCTTAATATAATTATGTGACAATTATGCAAATATGGATGTAATTTGCATAATTTATGAGGAAATTCTATAAATCATCTGCATTCCATGATAGGACAATTGAAGCTTGTGACATTGGTAATTGACAACAAGAGAAACACGGGAAGATATTGATTATGTTAATAATGACTTAATTTGCATAATTAATGAGAAAATTTTATAATTATGTAATGATAACTGCCTGGAATTTCATACTTGTGGTATTTGAAAGTTAAATTGAGGTGAACATCATCAAACATAATTTATTCAAATCAGAACCTCATTTGCATGATTTATTAGGAAATGCTAGAATGCATTGTTTGTTAATATAAGACTGTCTTTTGGTTGAGATTATGATAAAATGATATAATTCATGAAAATTAGGTTCCTATTTCTTAAATCAGGGGGGAATAATCTAATCTATAATTTGTCAGTCATAAAGATTAACATCATTTGGCGAAGGTATGAGATCGGGGAACTCTAGTTGTTTATTTTTTTAACATTCTCCTACTTGTGCATGTAGCTGCCTGACTCCGTAACCCATACAAATCTGGTGCCATGTACAGCTACAGTAGTACTATGCTGAGGGTTAACTTAGATGCATAGCTTCTCATGACTTCTGTTAAACTTTGTGTATACATGTATCTGTTTAACCCTTTCACTGCTGAGTACCTCATAACCCAAACAAATCTGCTGCTAAATGGCTACCTTAGCCTGCTGAAGGTTAAAACCCCACCCCTTGCCTTGTTAAAACCTTAGCCTGCTAAAGGTTAACCCTGCCCTTGCCTCCACAGACCCAGTGGTGACTCCGACCTGCTCCTGATTGACGGCATGGTGTCACAAGTGGGAGAGCCCATCACCAACCTGTGGGAGAGGGATGAGGGAGGGACAGGACAGTACCCACCCCCCAGCCTCAGAGTAAGATCTTCCAAACAACCGCCGTGGAATTTACCATACAGTCAAACCTGTAGTGTATATGTTGCACCTGAGGGCTTCAAAATAAAGTACATTTTGGGAATAGGTGAACTACAACTACATGTAGCACTGGTGCACCTAATCTGAAATTTAGGTGCACAAAAATGTTCATAACATACAGTATTTCCTGCATGAGCAGGATGTCCCTTGCAGGGTTTAGTTCAGTATTTAGATAAGATACATGTAAGATACAGTCAAACCTTCACTTAACAGTACCTTGAGTAGTATAGGTTTGAAGTGCACTATAGTGACATGTAAGGTGTTCATATTTCTATCTGAAAACATTTTACTTTAATTTGTAACACCAGTTAGTTAATAAAATGATCACATTTAAAAGAACTTTTGAACTTATAAATAGTCACTATCATAATGGTAGATGTTTTGTGTGAAATTCTTGTACTGACATTTGTCGCTGCTCTGTTCTGTAGGACCTGCTTGATGTGTACCTGCTTCAGAATGTGGACCTGATGACCAAGCACTGTATTGTATCCTTAAATGTACATCATTACATGTAGTGGTACTTAAAGACTAACTACTAATTTTGATGGCTTTTAATCTAGAAAGACTTTGTATATATATACACGTACATTGTAACATAACAGTTACTGTATTTCAACCCAGGTGTAAAATGAGTGCCTGATTTTGGTTGGGGAGGTAAAAGGCAGTGAAAGAAGAGCTGAGGGATGGGCTCCACCTTCCACTGCCTTTTACCTCCCCAACCAAAATCATGCCCTAGACATAGTGGATCAAGAGCCCACTGCCCCTATGGTCTGAAAAAAAGGCTATGGGACTACATGTACCTTTAGTTTTTACATGTCTAATAGGAACATGTCTTGAGACAAACAATTCTTTCTCTTTGAGTTATCCTTAACCCTGCACAGGTCACATATCTTATTCTAGACATTTTGTCCATGAGTCAAGACCCACAGCAAGAAAAAGTGAGTTGAGTTCTTTTTAACACCTTTGCTTCTCTCAAATTTTGTGTTTCTATGAGTAATGATTTTTTGTACAAGAAGATTCTAAAGAATGTAGCTTGAATGAAAGATATACATGTATATGAACATGTATTATAAACATTTATATCAAAGAATATTGACTAAAAAGTGTTAATTTTTGTGTCAATCTTTTTGCGCAATTATGTGTATATATATCTTGTGCAATTATGTTTAATAGAATTGTTTTATATCATCATTCCATTTTATTGTTGCCACAGTTTTCGGAACAGCTTGGGCTGTTCCCCAACTCGTTCTCCCTCCCTCTGGGAGTCAACAAACTCATCCAGGGTGCCTGGCTACTGGACCACAAGGACTTCGAGGTGAGAAAATTTTTTCCCTTTTATTCTAAAATCTACATTTTGATCTCCACGATGTTAATACATGCATGTCTATAGAGGTTTTCTTTTACACAACCAGTATTGTCTTACCTTGCTTACATGAACATGCATGTTTTGGTGTCTATCTAGTCAGACACTTTCCCCAGAGCTTCTGACTGGAGTTCTGCTTCTTGTTGCTATATATACATGTACCAACCTGATGACACTATTTTTGGCAAAATAAGTCTGACAATGTAATAGCAAATACTTGGTTGTTACTTTGTTGCATGTCGGTGCAGTTCTGAATCAAGTCAGCAGGGGGCATAGCTGCATGGGCTAACTAAACATGTTGTGATGATCACAGTTTGCTTGACAGTTACTTCTGAAAATCTGACAAATGGTTCCAATTTTATCACATCATCAATAGCAATAGGCTCACTTATTTAGAAAACATTAAGTTTCTCTAACCTTGAACTTGACCTTTGCCACAGGAAGCCTTGACAGTTCTGTTGGACCCTTCCGTACGGGCGTGGCTGTCTCCATGGCAACACCAGCTGATCCTCAAATCGTTCCTGTACCAAGGGGAGTCTGGGAAGGCGCTACAGTACCTCCGTGTGTCCCAGCCGGCCATGCACGGGCACGAGGGGGTTAAACTGCAGCTCACAGTCCTGCTGGCTAATGGGTAGGTCTGGTTAACCCTCTGTCTGCTAAGCCTGTACTACAGTACCTCAGGGTGTCCCAGCCGGCCATGCACGGGCACGAGGGGGTTAAACTGCAGCTCACAGTCCTGCTGGCTAATGGGTAGGTCTGGTTAACCCTCTGTCTGCTAAGCCTGTACTACAGTACCTCAGGGTGTCCCAGCCGGCCATGCACGGGCACGAGGGGGTTAAACTGCACCTCACAGTACTGCTGGCTAATGGGTAGGTCTGGTTAACCCTCTGTCTGCTAAGCCTGTACTACAGTACCTCTGTGTCCAAGGTAATGAGATATACCAAAAAACAGATAGTATTACTCAAGCAACTGGATATGGTTTTGGAAACAGAATGTTTCAGGTAGTTCCAGTGTCACTGACAAAAGGTAGTGGATGCTATCTGAAACGAACGTTTCCAAAACCATATCCAGTGAGCTTGAGTAACTGCTTTTTTGGCAACCATGCAACGTGATACGGTAACAGCTGGCTCTCTGGTTGTCCATCGTTTCCAATGATGACAGCTGGCTATAGCATACCAAACAACCTGTTACACCTAACCTTTTTAGTGTTGGATGTACAGTTTATCCTGTATTTTTGTGTTTCTGCAGTCTGACAGCAGAAGCGATCCAGTTCCAGCAGAGTTATCGTGATGAGGGAAACACGGAGGAGCTTCTGGAGCATCTGTTCCTGGGCTGCCAGCAGAGTGAGTCTGCTTCTGTTTGGGCTTACAGAACTGTGCTGTATCCAGAACCATACTTAGGCACGGTTATGGATAATCCATGTGTATCCTGAACCATGCTTTACCATGCCTAATCACTGTTTCGGATAGACCGTGTGTATCCAGAACTGTGCCTGGGGGCAAATCTACATTCATGCATATGCAGAGACTATCCAGAACTGTACCTGATCCTAACCCTGTCCCAGGCACAGAGGTACATGTGGTTTCAGTTTCCATTGGTGAAATGAGATGCATAATTATGTTGTGCTGCCAGTGGATGGCAAACCGTAAGTTCAGCACCAAGGACAGGCCCAGTAGAATCACTGTTACTGTTATCTGAGTGTCTTTCTATTGCAAATTATCAGATAATTGTAACATCATATGTTTGTCTGTTTCTTCCTCAGCATTTACAGTGGACAAACTGCTGCAGCTGCCATTTGATGATGTGGAACAGGTAAATAAAGTGCAGTGTTCGAAATACCTGTCTGCAGTCTGCAATCTGCAGATAGGTTTTCAAGATTGCAGAAGAAAAATTTATACAATCTGCAATTTTGCAGCAGGAAAAAATGGCACTTGGGATTTGGTGCTCTTGGCCCCAAGGACAGACAACACTTAAGCTCCTGTTCTGAAACAACAGGAGCTTCTTCACTAATTTACATCAACCTTGTCTTGACTGGGAATGTCTATCTTTTGTTTCCTTTTGGACTTCCAAAAATTTGTCTTCACTAATTTGCATATCAATCAATACTTCATGCTTATAAACTTGCAAGATTGTAGTATAGAGGCTTGTGTATTTGCAGAAAGTATTTCCAAATTGCAGAACAAAATTTTGACTCTTCTGCAATATTGCAGAGCACTGAAAAAAAGTATTTCGACCACTGAAGTGTTAAATTTTCTTGGTCGTTTTTTTCAATCTCTACCCCATAATACCCATATAATTTTTGGGTGTTTGATAAACAAAGCAGTACGGTGAGGAAGGTCAGACATCCAGGTAATAACATACGCTGAAAAGCAGCTACTCAAGCAACTCGATATGATTTTGGAAACTGTCACTGTCACTGACAAACGTTTCAGGCAGCCACTACCTTTCGTCAGTGACACTTAAACGTCTAACCATTTCCAAAATCATATCCAGCCACTTGAGTAACTGTTTTTTGGCGAAACAAAGCAGTAGTTTTTAAGCTGGACTTAAGGTAAGGGTGTGAAGGTAAACACAATGCATTTGCTTTGCAAATGTTACCTTTCTAGCTTGTTTTTTCCAATGTCTTTCTGTTTTCCCCTATTGCAGAAGTGCCTAGTGAAGTACCTCCAGGAGAGTCCAGAGCCGAACTCTGCTGAGCTGCTGCTGGTGTTCTATCTACAGAGGGGACGGTTTGTGGACGCCGTGAGGCTCAACGATCTGCTGAAACAGGATGTCATGGTTTGTTTGTTTGTTTGTTTGTGGGAGCCTTTGTTTATTTATGGTCTCAAATTGGCCTACAGGTCTGCACCTATTCCTAAACCCCTTTACCCAATGTTGCGTTGCCCATTAGTATACTACATAAATTATAACTATTGTAAAAGTTATGAAACACGCCTAAACTGTAATTTCCAACACAGTCAAATTTATTACTGTGCAACTCCAGCCTTTGTTCTCACATTCACACACACAACTTGGTGATGAGCAGTGAATTGTATATACAGTATACATTGTATAGGTTCCTTATGATCAAGACTAGAGTTGGACAGTTGAAAATTTGGGTAGTTCCTATATGCAATGACAATTTCAATTTCTAGTGTTGAAAATTACAATGCAAACATTTTCATAATCTCTGATGTGTTGTTTTAGATGGAGCACGATGCCCAGGCCCAGCAAAGATCTGCCACCAGGAACGCCATCCTGGAGACCTACATGAGACTGTTGCCTGGTGTGCAGAGAAAGCTATCCTTCGGGCCTGAACAGGCTGCACCCAGGACTCAACTCATGAGGAGGGAAGGTGGGAACACTGTTCTTAGTAACTTGTACCCACTGCTTATTGTAGTACATAGAAACAGAATAGAAAGGGTTGTAGTTGATAATTTCTGGAGACGTACATGAGACTACTGCCTGGGGTACTTCTCCGAGGCGTGGTGCCCTGGAAATGACCTGCACTTGTTTCCACTCCAATGCCCTGCCAAAGCAGTTGAGCTGTGCACGATTGGAGAGGTTAAGGCCCTGCTTAAGAGCTTAAACTCCACCAAAGCTAGCGGGCCAGACGACCTCCCCACATGGACCCTGAAGCAGTACGCCGAGGACTTGGCTCCTGTCGTTACCCACCTGTTCGATGCCTCATACGAGCAGGGATTAACACCAAGCATCTGGAAGGCAGCGAATGTTGTACCCATCCCGAAGTCCAGGGGAGCAGCCAACCCGAGCGACATGAGGCCTGTTTCGCTCCTCCCCATTCTGGCCAAGCTACTGGAGAGGTGTGTCCTCAAAAGACTCCTACCTGCCATCACCCCGGTGATCACCAACCAGTACGCTTACCTGAAGGGTTCCTCCACTGTCCTCGCTGCCATCAGGATGGTGCACACGTGGCTGACAGCCCTCGACTCAAGAGAGCATACTTGTGTTCAGACCCTCTTTGCTGACATGAGTAAGGCTTTCGATAGGGTAAACCACGCGATACTACTGCAGCGGGTCAACGACGTTGTGGCAAGTCCACGGATGGTAGCTTGGCTGCAAAACTACCTACAAGGACGCACTCAGAGAGTGGCTGCTAACGGGGAGTTGAGTAGCTGGCGACATCTCACGTCAGGAGTACCGCAGGGTGGAGTGTTGTCGCCCTATCTGTTTCTTTTGTTTATGAGCTCACGCGACACGGTTTACGACGACACCCTAGACGTGGGCTATGCGGATGACGTGGGTTTGTCCAGATCAGTCTCCCTGAAGAAAGCTAGCACGGACAGTGCCATGACAGAGGAAGCGTCGCAGCTTGACAACTGGGCTGACCGTAACGACATGCTCCTGAACGGCAAGAAAAGCCAGATGCTGCTGATCTGCTTCAGCAGAAACGCTCCAGTACTGCCACCTCTGTCTCTCGGGGGCGAGCTTGTGCCTGTCACCACTGTTGCCAAGGGGCTCGGCTTCATCTTTGACAACAAACTATCCTGGCGCGAACATGTGAAGTCTATGGTGTCAAAGGCCTCGAGCAGGCTCCACTACCTCCGCCTGCTGACAAAACAGGGCATGAGTGTGCAAGATCTGTCCAGGTGTACCTGAGTCTCATCCGCCCTGTCCTGGAGTATGGCCATGTTCTGTTGGTCGGTTGCAGTGAGGAGCAGGCAGCGAGCATGGAGAGGGTTCAGAGGCGCGCCCTCCGGATCATCTCACGTGGCGGCAGACGTTCTGTACCGACACTGCCGTCCCTGAAGGAGAGGAGAGAGGCCGCTGCTGTGTCTCTTTTCAAGGCCATGCTGAATCCTGAACATCCCCTGCACGACCTGGTTCCTGCCCAGAGACAGTCTGTCACAGGAAGATCGCTGAGAAACAGTCACAACATCACTGTTCCCCATGCAAGAACTAAACGGCTGCAACAGTCCTTCCTGCACTACACCATCAGACTCTATAACAACCTGCCTTGAACCCACACTAGTACTGGACTTTGCATAGCCTGATAAAGCAACTTTGTTGATATATGTTGTAAATAATTTTTTTATATGTGTCTTTTGTATATATGGTTGTTTATATGTATTATTTCTTCTATGTGAATGCTGTTTGATGCTTTAAATAATGTGACAAATTGTACCTAATTCAGGGGGATGCGCTTCTGCTCCCCCTGCTGTTGTACATTTGTTTAAATGATGAGCAAATAAATAAAGTTGAAGGTTATAGTGGGTGCAGAGGAAGCTATCCTTCGGGCCTGAACAGGCTGCACCCAGGACTCAGCTCTTGAGGAGGGAAGGTAGGACAGTGTTGATAGTAGCACATAAAAAAAGGAAGGCCTGGGTTGTAGTTGATAATTTATGGAGACCTACATATCCTACTGCCTGGTGTGCAGAGGAAGCTATCCTTCGGGCCTGAACAGGCAGCACCCAGGACTCAGCTCTTGAGGAGGGAAGGTGGGACCAGTGTAGTAGTAACTTGTACCCACTGCTGATGGTAGTACATTACTGTACATTCATGTAGATGTCAGTGGTTATTCGCTTTCTGAAGTGTTTACATGAAACTTAAACATTTGTAACCGTCCGAGTGTGTGTGTGTGTGTGTGTGTGTGTGTGTGTGTGTGTGTGTGTGTGTGTGTGTGTGTATGTATGTGTGTGTGTCTCCCTACCACAGCAGTCACCATGGTAACTGCTGTTACAGTAACAAACACCCCGTGGTGTTGGGTTACATGTACATTATGTAACAAGTGGCAGGACAGGGTTGGAGGGTTCTGAATATGAATTCAATGTGTTTAAATAAGAATAAACAGAGCAGTAGTTTGTTAGGCTAGACCATTTGAAGGTAAAAACTACATTTTGTATTTGCTTTGCAAATGTTACTTTTCTTGTTGACTGTGATATTGTTTTCTCCCCAGTGTCCCGTCCCCAGCCCCTGTCTACTGTGCTGCACCGCGGTACAGAAGCTCGAGTGGTTTCTCATGCCACCATGCTGAACCTGGTGCTGAACAAGGTAGCTGAGGCGAGAACTCAGCCCTATGAACCAACTACTCCATTCAGGAGAAGGTAAACATAACACGATATAGCTATTTATGTCCTACCTGGGCCGCGATTACGTTCAATACGGGTGTTCCGACCCGTGTGATAACTAGCGGTACGGCCCGGGGGTTCTTTACGCGTACGGCCCGGGGCTTCCAAATGTTCCGTGGAACGATTTGAACGCGTTTCGGCCTCACCGCGTGCACCGATTTCGAAATTCGAATACAAAATTCGGACGTTGGAATTGATGTTGTCGCATTTTTTGGGTTTAGGGACACCAAATCTTCGCTCATTTCGCATTGAAAGGCGCGTTTTCTTGGGTGGGTATGACATAAATAAAATACAACACGGTGTATTCCGCATCACCCTCGGTCCCAGCCCTCCCGCGGATCGGATCTCCCTTCGGCCGTCGGGCGATCCGACGCGCGGTCGGGCCAGTACCTCGGACGATACGGAATACCCCGTGTTGTATTCTATATGTACACATGTACATTGTATAAGGGCCCTGGACAAGTTAGCAGAGGCCAGGATTTTTCTAGATGGGAATCAGAAATGAAAGACAACTTGCAGTTTTTCTAGGAACAAAAACTCTGAGCCACAATTGAATAAACATCATAGTTCATACTGAATCTTATGTTGTAATAGTCTAAGAACAAACCTGGCTGTACATCTCATGAGACAATAATTGCTCTCAGGAAGTTTTTAAAAATGAAACGGGGCTTGGTAGTTAAGTTTATTCATGTACCTCCTATTCCAGACATATCGGTTCCCCACTGGTGACAGAGAATGAGCCGTTTGTGGGAACTCCAGTCACACCACGAAGTGCACCAAGAGTCAGGTAAACATCTGATGTTTAACCCTCTTACTCCTGAGGCACCCCTAAGTACAAAATTTACAGTCATTAGAAGGTAAAGCAGTATGTAGAAGGTTGAATTTTCATGGGAACTCCAGTCACACCACGGAGTGTGCCCAGAGTCAGGTAACACTGCCGTCATCATCTTTCTCCTTCTTAATGCTTAAGTAGTCCTTTGGCACCAGATCACCTGTACCAGTAATACCTGTACCGCTCATTTAATTTTCTTTATCTTGGTTCATATGTGTTGTCAGGTAGAAGTCATTATGATTCAATATGAAGCAGTTTACGACTGTAATTTCCAACACAAGAATTTGGACTTATTGAAAGTTTTGACTGTAAAACTCCAGTCTTTGTTACCCAATGAGCAATCCACCGCTTCTGTAATGTCATGTTAATGCTGAATGATGGCACATGTGACTTGGTGAGCAGTGGATAACAGGTTACAAAAAGTCTGTGGTCCCCTGTCTTTGTAGAAGGATGGTTGTAATGCCCTACTGCAGATGGCTTCTAATTACAATGTACCCACTGGACTCATTTTCTTTCCCTTTTAGTCTATTAAAAAAAATGATGATCCATTTTGTGCCACCCTCCCCACCAGAATGACTACATTGTAGTTGACCTGCACCGATCATTTTCTTTCCCTTTTAGTCCATATAAGGCATCAGACACAATTTCAGGGTCAATATCAGACAGATTTCCTCATTCAGAATATATTTTATTTTGATGATCCATTTTGCGCCCCCCCCCCATCAGAGAGACGAGTAAGGTGATCTACCCGACCCTGGATGAAATGGTGGCAGAAGCTCAGGAGGAAACACCTGTCAAACACCTGGTCTCACCTGGCCGACGCCCTCGCACCTCACCTGTAGGACTGCTGGAGAGACTCAGAAGGTACGCTGTAGTTCTAGGGAATAAGGGGCTTTGATAATAGACATTTTTGATAGATTTGCATCTTCTCACAGTTTGTAAGCTTGCTGTTATTGTGGAGACTTAAAAGGTACAATGTAATCATAAGGAACAAGGAATTTTTTCTGAGTTTACATGTAAACTCGAAGTTCATTTGTGTTTGTAGAAGTAAAAAACATCCTAAATGTCCTGTATGTTGTATGTAATGTTCTGTCCTATATTCTGTTCTCTAATAAGAATTTTAAGTGAAATGGATCTGTAATGACCAGGACCAAAGTTGAACTGTATTTTTGCCAACACAACTGCTATCTACAGCTTCCCCGAAGTCTGAAATTTCTTGTCTTTCCTGCAGACACACGATGAACCTTGGTGCAGACGCCCTTTCCCTGCTGTCCACTCCCCCTGTAAAGCGTCGCCGGGCCTCCTACACCCAACATCTACCCGAGGCAGCCCCCCAGCGCACCCCTCCCTCCATCCTAAAGGTCCGCAAGGCTGTCAGGAAGTCTGTTAGCCCTCAGAGGGAGGCCAAATCAAGGCAGGCGACAGGTTAGTGTGTCTTAATACTATCAATGTTAATATGATCAACTAAAAGCTACAAACAATAAAGTTGTCTACACGTTTTAAAGAGAGAGAAGAGACCTTGTAGATGTAGTCTTCCATAATGCATTTTGGGCATAAACATGCAATAATGAAATACGTTTTCATTCCTCCCCTGCAGGTTCTATCTCAGATTTTGCCATGCCCACGCCACCCCGCTACCAGCGCAGAACCATCGGTTTCGCTGAACCTCCCAAAGAGCAGAAAGAGACGCCCAGGAAAATCCGGTTTGCTGCCGAAACCCCCGGGCTGCCACCCTCTCCTGACATGTACGATAAATTTCATCTGGTTTCGCACTGGGTCTTGATTTTAGAGTAGGTTTTGATAGATGCAGTGTGAATTGTGTGTTATGAACATGTAGGCATGGTGGCCTTAAAAAGGTGCACTTAGGTCCACCTGTTCCACCATGCCTTCCATGTACATGTTTATTTGGATAATTGTAAATAAATAAATTATACTTGTTATTGTAAATAAATTATATCAACTTGTTATTGTCAAAAGTTTGAATTGTGTGTTTCTCTTTTGCTACTGCGTCTTTTCTACAGTACAATTACAGATGGTGTCCTGTTTAGATCTTTCAATTTGAGTCTTTTTCCACTTTTGCTTTACAGAGAAGCCATCTTCTCTCCAAATTGAGCCTCCGTATTCCTCTTCAATAAACTTATTTTAGCTAAAATTAAGTGTACTGAAAAGTGTTTAAATCAATGCTTTAGATGTGTTTTTTTTTTCACTTCTGCCTTACAGAGAGAAGTCGTCCCCTCTCCAGTTTGAGCCGCCGTGTTTTGATGAGGAGAGAGAAGCCAGCCCGGACCGAGCCTCTCTGGAGGCCGTGGCAGAGGATGATGCAGTTGCCATGGAGACCATGGAGGTGGATGATGAGATCACCTTTAACCTCAGCAGGGGAGACGGGCTGGCAGAGGATGAGGAGATGGAAGGTTGGTCATGTTTTCTGTTCCAGGAAGAAAAATTTTGAAATTTTCCAGGAAGAAAAATTTTTCCAGGAACAGATTCTGAATTTTTCCAGGAAGAAAAATTTTCCAAGAAGAAAAAATATTCCAGGAAAAAAGATTTTCCAGAAAATAAAATTTTCCAGGAAGAAAAAAATTTCAAGGACAAAAAATTTCCAGGAAAAAAGATTTTTCATGAAGAAAAACATTCCATGAAGAAAAATTTTCCAGCCTGAGGAGGATAGATTTTCCAAGAAGAAATGTATTCCAGGAAGAAGGATATTCCAGAAAGAAAAATATTTTAGAAAAGGACCTGTCCAGGACCATTGGTCTCTAATGTACATACATACAGATGCTTTCAAAAAGCATCAAAGTTACATTTATCTGAAAATTGATGCAAAGTTTTATATTAATCACCAATTTTTAATATCATAAACAGAAGTCATAATGGATTTTTGATCTGTTTCATCTCTCTCTCTCTCTCTGTTGCAGACACGCAGGAGTTTGTAGCGAGCGTGCGGCCCTCCCCTCCCAAACCCCCCTCCCCTGTGAGCCAGCTGTCCCCGGGACTGTACCCAGACCTGCCCGAGCCTGAGCCAACCAAACCTGACCAACCGTCTCCTGTCAGAGCTCAGCAGTACCCGGACCTGTCCCCACAGTTTCACATGCCTGACAGCGGGGATGGAAACGTGCCTGCAGAAACTGTGTCTGGTAAGCTTCAAACTGCTAGCATTTTTTACTCAAGATGTTAGATATTTATGTACCTTTTCTTACCCGTTTTAACACCCAGTTTTTAACCCACCATGAATGCTACCCTAACTTCCTCCCCTTCCCCTTCAAGTCATATTTCTTGCAGTGTTATGTGTTTGTTTTTAAAGATGTTACTGTCTGTCTGTCTGATAGTGTGGGCACTATTGTGTCAAGTTTTTGTCTCTTACAATATCCTTATATTCATATGTGTTATGAAATACAAACACATCCCCACTGCTGTCTGCCTTCTAGCTTGGGCACCCTGGGGGTCCTCCCTGTCCAGGGCTTGTGTGTGTGTGTTTGTGTGTGTGTGTGCCTGTGTGTGTGTGTGTGTGTGTGCATGTGACTGTGTCTGTCTTGTTGCTGTTATGATATACTAACCTCTGTCTGTGTCTGCTAGCCTGGGCACCCTGTCTGTATTGTTGTTGTTATGAGATACATTACATGTACTAACACCTCCGCTCCTGTCTGTCTGCTAGCCTGGGCACCCTGGGGGTCCTCCCTGTCCAGGGCCCCCCTCCAGAGAGGCAGTGCCCCCCTGCCAGCCACTTCTGGTACCTCTTGGATGGAAACAGGAGCTACAGGCACATTAGGTAAAGGATACATGTACATTGTACAGCCATGAAAATATTTGGTGTGCCGGTGGCTGGCTTTTTAGTCAATTTTTTTTTGGACAAATTTCTGCCAGAAGGCTAATTGCAAATAACACGGACAAAAGAACAGGGTTCAAAATAACTATTAAAATCTACATCAAAAAAGATAACTGTAAGTCTTAAAGGAAGTCTTTTTTGACAAGTATATGGGCATTGGGTAGATCAACATGTTTAGTTTAACAAAAGCCACCTGCCTCTAAGTTCTGATTTAAAAACAGTTATGAAATTGTTGCTTCTCGCAGTTATAAGATGCATCATGTTGATTACATGTATGAAAAAGTTTTTGTGTTCTGTTTTCCACAGATTATCCCTCTCCTCCCAAGCCCATGCGCCTCCTGTTGTCTCCTGCCACCATGACCCCACCCGACACTCCGGAGAGCACGTCACGTCTGCCGGCCAAACCCGCCACCGTAGAGCTGGCCTCTCAGCCTGGACATGTTTCTCCTGTAAAAGTGGAACCAACACCTGAAGGTATGTACAATAATTATGTATTTGAATGTATTGTATATCTGTAATTCGGTTTCTGTAATTATGTTTACTGAAGGAAAAGTATTGTTTTTGTTCAGTTTCCTCTTCTTATCCAAATGACTATATTCCAATGTATGTCCATCTGTAATTTGGTTTCTGTAATTATGTTTACTGAAGGAAAAGTATTGTTTTTGTTCAGTTTCCTCTTCTTCTCCAAATGAATAAGTTACCTGAACCAGATGTCTGTCACCGTGGTAACTGGTGTTGGGTTACATCATGTTGCAATTTTATAGCAGGAGGGATTTAGATTCCAGTCACTATATAATTATAATATGTTTAATGTGTTTGAGTAAGACCAAATGCGAAGGTAAACATTATGCATTTGCTTGGCAAATGTTACCTTAAAGTATATTGTAAATGTTGTCATATGTAACTCAATGATTTTTATTCTCCAAGAAATTTGATATTACATTGTTGATTAGCGATAATACAGACTTTTTGAGTCTGCCAATTCTAATAAAGTTTCTTTTGTCTGAAGTCTCAGTACCAGAGTCTACAGCTAGTGTTGCTGCCAAGGGAGTGAGGTTTTCTGCTGAAGAAGAATCAGAAGTACAAGAACCAGCAACCCAGTTGCCATCTGCTGTGGTGATGGAAGAAGCTCCAGGATTGGCTGAAACAGAGGCGACACCCACAGAAGCAGCCACCCTATTGGTCGAGTCATCTGCTGGGGTTATGGAAGAAGCTCCAGGATTGGTCGAAACCCAGGCAACAGCTATGGAAGCCGACTCCACATTGGATGAGCCACCAAAGTCAGTTTCTCCACTAGTAACACAATTGGCCGAAACATCTTCAGTTCTCACAAACATTGCAACATCAGTTGAAGAAGAAACAAAGCCTTCAAATCTGGCCGAGAGGGTTGTCCAACCTCAAGTAACTTATCAAGCCAGTAGCAAAGAAGTTATTGTGTCGACTGTAGTTGAAACAGAGCCTAAAGTTGCTACACCGACTGTATCAACTTCAGAACCAACCCAGTCACCACGAAAGCCAAGCCCTGTGAAAGAAGCCGCGCCATTGGCTGAGCCGTCGTCCTCGGTGGATGATACACCAATGAGAGGGCAGGTTACAGGTGTGGAGCAGTTTAAACGGTCGCTGAGGACCAGAAGCCGGAGTCCGCTCAAGGCCACCAGAAGGTCAAGTTCAGAGGGCGGACTGGAAACGGAGGGGAGATCTGAAAGGGTAAGGTGTCATGTGCATAAGGCAAGAGAAACAAAACCTGGCACAGTTGTTGATATTAGGCATTATCATTAAGCAACTGTAGGCTGTGTGGTTGTATATATATTCTTGACATTTGTGTCAGAAAAAATTATAAAACCTCTGTTGTGTTTCTTAATGTGTTAATTTCTTTTCCATCCACCTAGTAAGTTTTAATCTCTTAGTCTTACCATGCAAAAATGTATTTCAAGCCCAGTCCAGCATTGTTTCGTATGGATAGGGACCTTCAACCTTATCTTAGTACTTTCAATGTACTACACAGCTCATGTGCACTTTAAATATTAGTGATTTATCATATACCCCGGTCATGAAATATCAGCTTGAAAAGCCTGCGGACCAGAGAACTTGTTCATAAGTTGTTGGTTAGCTCTTCACCCAAATTATAAAATTTCATAGCATTTTTATGTTTTCATAATGACATCAGAATGTGTGGACTGTCCAACACTGACCCTCTGGACAGGGTCACATGGAGACATGGAGTCCAGTCTAGCCCACTGCTGCCCACCCCTGAGACAGGGAAGCCGGCAGCAGTATAATCAAAACCCGGATATGTATGTATGTATTTTATGTTTTCATAATTATATATTTCTGTTCCCTCCTCAGAGAGTAACCAGAGCCTCTTTAGCGACCAACAAGACGTTTACTGAGATCGGTACCCAGTACCCGACCCCGGCCCCGCTGAAGACAGCCGCCGTCTCAGAACTCAGGGCAGCTGAGGTCAGGGTCAAGTCTGAACCTCAGGAGCTTCCACAGCAGGACAGGAAAGGTTGGAACATTTCGTAGTTTTTTATCCTCTTTGTGTCTTAACCAGCCCCCTCCCACATACATGTACAAGCTATTATACAATGTATAATACATACTAATGTTGTTAAGCAAAAAGGAAAACTTTTCTAAGGCAAATTTCTTATTGAGAAACACATAATAATTTTGAACTGATTATGAAGACCTTAATAATACAATGTATGTTGCTTTCTATAAACAAAAAATAATTGAAGGTTTGACAACAATGTAAGTACAATGTATACATGTAGCAACACCAAATAAAACTAGAGCTACATACCATTTTATGTAGTAAGTTTTTGCTCTAATTTGCTTACAGAAGACAGTGAGCAGACCCTGAGACTGAGCACGGATTCGGAGCCAGAGGACACCACGACCTTCACCAAGGTCAAGGTCAAACAGGAGGTCCCAGAGCCAGGTGGGTCAAAGTTCAAGCATAATACTTCAAGGCAAGGTGTAGATGTTGATACGAGAAAGTTGACCATTACTGACTTGTATGGTCACCTACGACCCGTCCACTTGTACCTCAAGATTGCAGCTTTTTAAAGGCCCGGTCACACTGGCGGAACTTTGCTGGAGCGTTGCTTGAACGGTGAATAAAATTCATCACCGCTCGAAACCGCTCACCACCGCTAAACAGAAGTTGGCCACCGTTAAAGCAACGCCGTGTACGCCCGGCCACCGCTGACGTTTCTGGAGGGGCCCTCCTACCGCTCCGAAAGTTTTGAGCTGCACAAAATATTGCGAGCGGTGAGGAGGGGGAAATTTTCCGCTCCGGCAAAGTTCACCCCCGCTCCACCAACGCCCAGTCAAAGTTTGGCATCGCTAGACGCAAGTTCGTGGACGCTTGGGTCCGCTAGGCCAACGCAGAAATCTTGAACGCTTGACCACCGCTGCTTCGCCAGCGTTGCCCGGGCGGCGATTAAACGTTGCACAAACGTTGCACAAACTTCGCTGGAGCGGTTGCAAGCGTTTTACGAGCGGACACGGGGTTGCTGGAACGGTGTCAGGCGTTGAAGCAGCGATCCATGTCGGCAATGAACTTTGGTTTGGCGTTGGTATAGAGGTGTCGGAGCGGGACCAGAATTTGGCTATAAGTACGGTGAGAAATGGACCAGGTGCTCATTTGGAATCGAGCTGCCGTTGAGTTCAGGCCTCATCTTTATCGAATTTGCTCGAAGTTACAGTAAAGCTGTATCACCCTGGATGCCGAGAGACTTGCTATGAATGGTGCACTAGTGTGCAATTATTTTTGGGCCACACGTAAAATGTTCAAAGAAGGGTCACACGGACAATCACTTTATTGGGGTCACAGGGGAACTTTGCAATCTGCAAAGTTTTATTTTCATTATTAATTAAATAACGTAGTCAAGAATAGATTAACAAAATGATGTTTATTAAAGCTATAAGTCCCCACACACACAGAACAGAACTTGTACTACTACAAAACGATCCGTTCAACTCCGTAGTCACAAACGGTATGCCGCTAAACCGCATGCGCAGAACGCCGCTATACCAACGCTTGCGTCACCGCTATACCAACGTTTGCTACCGCTAAACCAACGCTAAAGCAACGCCGGCTTCAGCGGTGCACCGCTAAGTCAACGCCCGTGTTTTTATTTTTTCCCCCACATTTTGGGCGCGGTGACGAGCGTTGTCGAAATTCGGCCCCCGTCCCTACCGTTAAAGGAACGCTCCAGCAAAGTTCGGCCAGTGTGACCGGGCCTTAACATTTTCTCTGCTACCTAAATTACTAGCTAGAGTATATATTTGCTACTTTAAAATTTAATATTTGCTACGCTAAAATTTAAAACCATTGTCTTGTTTGTTCCCATGCAGAAAGCCACTATGTGTTTTCACCACCGGTCACCATGGTGCCCAGGTCTGAACAGAGAGGTAGGGACTTCTCTTTTTTTTACGATCCAGTGCAACGCCAAGTTCCACATACTGGAACAGCATCTCTTCTCACTAAGTCAGAAACATCAAAGTGTGAGACAGGCTGCTGGACTCTCTGAGAGTGAGGACTAACTCATAACCGAATATGAGAAGCAGGTTTTCCTCCCTGCCTTCTGTGTTTATGATGACTACTTGCTACACATTTTTACCTTATAATGTCCAGGAACCAAGAAAAAATAAACTGCTGTGTAGCCTGTGGCCTTACCGTTACTTTGACAGTTATGTACTGAATTTTTTGTTCATGTTTTTTTTGTTGTGTGCAGGTAAGGACCACACCACCCCTGCGCAGGTGCCAAACTTTGTGTTCTCCCCACCGCTGACCCGGTCCCGCGGCAGATCCTCCATCGCACCGGCCGCACCAACCAGCACCGGGCGCAGTCACAGGTCAGCCTTACAGCTCAAATACAACGATATGTCTACAACTATACTGTATGACATTGTACACATTCATGTAACACATGCATGTACTAGTAACATACCAGCTTCACAGACACAGTTGTTTGCTGCACAGCTTCTCAGGCACACTGCAACGTGTTTTTTTGAGACCATTTTTAGAAAATGTTGTTGTAGATCCTCTTCGTTTTTATCAATTTTTTGTATCAGGAACTGTACCTTTTTTAATAGATAGCTTCTACATGTATGAAATTCCTACAATATGGTGTCTTGAAAGTTCCTAAAAATGTCAAGACATCTTAAATCTGTGTTACTCTCAGGAGTGTCAGGAAGACAAGAAAAGACACGAGTATCCTAATAGACCCCTTTTTGAATATGTAGCTTCTACAGAATTCCTGCAATGTGGTGTTTTGACATTCGACATCTGTCTGAAAACTGTCATATTCTCAGGAGTGTCAGGAAGACGAGAAAAGACGCCAGCCCTGTTCAGACCCCTCGAGTTGAGGAAGTTGCAGCATCCCCAAAAGCTGCCTCCCCGGTGCCTGCGACCCCCCCGCCCATGGAAGCTGTGGAGAGTCCGGAAAGTGTCCTGCGGAGTGGGAGGGTGGTGAAGAAGGAGACTCCGGTGAAATCACCGACTGGGTACCCACACAGGAAGCCTCGTGGGGGCAGGAAGGCTGCAACCACCAGGACTAGGTACTGTCCCTCTCTTTTTGTAACAATTTTGTTTCCATAATTGCTACAGGACGAAGAAACCAAACTGCTACATTTTCTGGCTCCGTTGTAACAATGTTTCAGAATCTATATAATTGCTACACGAAGAGGCTGAAGTTGCCACACGTGGAGCTGTCTGACACTCCCATCACTTTCCTCACTCCTGGCAGAAATAACTGCTACATTTTCAGGCTCTGTGTTGTAACAATGTTTCCATGTTTGCTACAGGACAAAGAAGCCAAAGTTGCCACACGTTGAGCCGTCGGACAACCCCATCAGTTTCATCTCTCCTGTCAGAAAGAACTGCTACATTTTCAGGCTGTATTTTGTAACAATGTTTCCATAATTGCTCCCTTTTGTAACAATATTTCAATGTTTGCTACAGGATGAAGAAGCCGAAGTTGCCACACGTTGAGCCGTCGGACAGCCCCATCAGTTTCATCTCTCCCGTCCCGGAGGAGTCCCCGGCCACCAGAACTCGCAGCCGGCGCAGGGTGGTCAAAAACCAGCCGCATCCCATGAGCCTCAGGCAGAAAAAAGCACCCAAAATCTAACAGCTCCTCTTCTGTAGGAAAACATTAAAAAATGTATTTCCTGTAGCAAGAAATAAATTCCTGTATCATGTTGCTGCCATGATACAAGAAAATTAATCAGTTGTATCCTACATGAGTGTGATGGAAAACCAACCCCAAACATGAATCTGAGGCATGATAAAACACCCAAACTCTAGTCTAGCACAGATTATTATTATACTGACATTATAAGAAGTAACTTAAAGAAGAAGTTGTGAACCATCTATTTTATCCTAAGTTTGGTAAAATTAGAACAGCCCCTAATATTAGTCTGAGGCAATAAGAAAGCACCCAAACTCTAGACAGATACATATTGCGATACAAGAAGTAATTATTTGTTGTATCCTACCTAAGTTGGGGGGAGAAAACAGCACCAAATCTCAGTCTGAGGCATTAGAAAACACCAGACCTCTAGCATATGTACAACAGTTACTACTTGATTGTATTACTGTCTGTTTTTGTAAGAAAAGAACTGTTGAAAAGAACTGTCAGGCTCGAACTGTATCATAGGTGTGATGAAAAACCAGTCCCACTCCATTAATCTGAGTCAGAATAAAGCACCCAAACTCTAGCAGCTGATATACTGTACATATATTTGTACTGTTGCAGAAAAGAACTTACAGAATATCCAGGAAAAGTGGTGAATATCTATTGTGAGAACAGAGTACATGTATGTAAGAGTTGCAAATCAGCGCTTAAACTCTATCTACTTAAGAACACAGTTGTTCTCTTTGCTACATCAAAAACATAATGAGAGGTGGCAGAGGGTTTGCTACAAGTACTGTAACATTAAATGTATAATATTATCATATCATTATCCTAGTCTATACATGTATGTAGCCAGACAAGTTGTCACACATGCTATGTTGCGAGGGGTACATGGAAAGGTTGCTGAATACAAAACATTGTGCTGTAACTATTCTATCGTCTTTCTTCCTATTATTTTCTGCTCATGAATTCATCAACAAATGTCATTATGGATTTGGAATCTAGAAAAACAATTAAGAACAAGCTACTTGTCTTGATGATATGGGAGAGAGTTAGTGATATTATGAAATCCTTATATGTTATGGAAATGCTTGATTGAAAGGGATACTTATTGAAAATTTGATAATGTGTCTTGAATTTTTCTTACATTTTCATTTGAGTCTATCGAGTAAATGGTATGAGGAAAATAAAGAAATGGTGTTTTATGTTGAATTTACGTCGTTTGTTCTTGTATGTGTTCAGTTATTATGTATGTTATATGATAAAAACATCAGTCTGTGGTAATTATCAGTCTTTGATACCCTTGTTCACACTAGCCTCAAAGAACTCTCTAAAAGTTAGTTAAACTGTAACATTTGATGCAGTTTATTTTCAAATAGTATGATCATAAACAAAAACCAATGGCGACTTTGTGTATATATTAACCTATTATTGCTCATAGCTTTTTCTAATGATGTGTTATTGTTTTTTCCCATACTAATAGCATCATCGCACACAACATTGAGTATAGCAGGGATACAGGATATTTTCAAGTAGCATAACCAGAAAACGGTAGGTCTGATGCTGATAACTACAATGTCATGTAATTGCAACGACTTCCACAATGCATCCAGTATGCTAAATCATAGATGCTTACTAATATTTCAAAATCTTTAGCTCTTTTTATCTTTTTCTTCCAGCATTCGTTCTCCAAAGCAGTGACAAGATTTGACTCAACTAGCTAGATAAGGTAGGTCAATGCATAAATTGCTAAATAATCATGTATTACATTATCAGGTATTACTTTAAGATATTTGTGTCTTACAACTTAAGATTCACACCAGCCTCCCTTTCTCCATATCAGCGTCAAAATTTTTAATCCTTATAAAACATCTACTGCTCATGAACTATATACATGTAGTAGGGACAGCCAGTATGTTTGGTAATCCATCAGTGCTTATAGCAGGTCTTTCGTGCCTTAAGTTTGACTCCAAAGGAAACATGTCCTTGACAACAGTTTCCTCAAGGCTAACTATCCTCTTATACATGTAGCACCTAGCATCTATATAACACAGTATGTATGCTAACCATTGGTGCTAAGATATTCCTGTCTTGCAACTTAAAGTTTCACTCCAAAGGAAACATGTCCTTGACAACAGTTTCGTCCACCCCGCCTTTCCCTGCCAGCCCGTACAGCTGTTCCCGTAGTGACGTCATGGTGACGTAGTGCATGACCGTGGTGGCAGAGTTCTTGTACATCGGCCTGGTGCCCTTGGACATGACCGTCAGCCGGCCCCTGCGGTCGAACCCGGGAATCCCAGAGCGCCAGAACATCACCTGTGCAGAAATGAAAAGTTTATTTGTCATTGTATACTTTAAATTTATGTTTGGTGGTGAGGCTAAAATTAGCGAAAGCTAGAGTACCTCACCACCATGTCTTGTAATGTACAAGTGAATTGTAAATGTAAAAAAAAAGTTTATTCATCAAAACACAAAACCTACAGGTCAGACGGATATGCACACATCTCAACGTTCTATGACCAAGAGGTCCCGGGTTCGAGTCCTGACATGCCACCGATCTTGTGCTCTTGGGAAAGGCACTTTACACGACTTTCCCCCACTAAAGTGAAAATGAGTATTGTCTGTCCTGTATTTATTTCTATGTGTGGAACAGCAACAGCTGCCTGTGTCCCACGTGTATCGCACTATTGCAATTTCAATAAATCAAATGCTTAAAATCAAATCTTGCGTGACCTGTTCGCCGGTCCGTACGGCGGCAGGGTTGTCGTCGTCCTTGGTGACTTTTCCCGCGGATGACGTCACTTCCGCCTCGCCCGGTGCATCCTGGGGCGGCAGCAGGCTCCCCAGTCCCGGCAGGTGCTTTTGGAGGAGGTCACTTTGGTCCTCCGCAACCTGAATTGTGTGGACATAATGAGAATATTGACCAAAAGGGTTAAACGTTCTATCCAACACAAGTAAATTGGAACTTACCCCAAATTTTCGGCCGACTCCGTCAGCCTTGTTCACGGGAATGGACCCTTATAATGAGAATTAACTATTAAAAATGGAATTTTCGATTTCGGTCTTCTTCAGCTTTCTAACCCGAGTGCTGTAGACACGTGACTTTTACCCACGTGTGACGTCAGCAGTGGGTCAAAGTTCGTGGCAAGTCGGTACCGCCCCCCGTCCCGGTTGAGCGAAGGTGAATCAGTTTTGTTGAGTTGGAGAACACTTGAATTCTCATTATGTATTATACCAACTGAGATGAACTTTCATGCATGAATGTGGACATCTTTTGGATGAGGTCACTTTGGTCCTCCGCAACCTGAGAGTGGACATCTTTGTGTTAACACGCGATGAGGTGAAAAATAATATTTGCAAGCAAATACAGAAGCCTGCGCGAACCCCTGATTTTTCACGGTTTTCATTGGATGTTTGTTCAACATTACATCAGAATATTGCCTGTTGCAGACGATATTTTTGGACATAACATTTGGAAACTACAGACGGGATGTTACCTTATATGTGCGAATATGGCATTATATGAGACGTTCTGCCGAAGTGCTATGCACTATACATTACGGGTTTTGATCAGGTTCTACCAACATGCTGATTCACATGGTGCATCCTAAGAATCTTTACACTGTATATCACTATACACTGTATATCCAGATCGAGATCCTTTTAAATGGACTTTGCTTTCAGCACCAAGGGCAGGACCATGGTTTTGGATAGGCCATGCATATCCAGAACCGTGGCTGGGACAATCTACATTCATGGATACGCCAAGACTACCCAAAATCTTGCCTGATCCCCTAACCCTAACCCGTTCATAGAACTAGATAAGCATGATTCTAGATCTGCCATGACAGTTTAAAGCACCACCTTAGATTTCGACTTCACGTCCAGGACCTTGCTGTTTGACTTTGACCCTGTTCACAGTGAAAAAATGGATCTGGATTGACTGCCGATCCCGATCAGAAATTCATTAATCCCGATCGACCCGCGCGTTCACACTGCTTTTTGCTGATCCGGATTGCCAGGGCATCACGCTCAGAAATGGATTGAGGTGTCACGAGCCCGCCATCTTGAACATGCCATAGCCGCTGTAACTCCGCCGTAAATTTTGCAAGAAAAGAACTCAGAAAGTTTGTACAGCCTGGAATATTAGCGGAAATAAAGAGAACACCTCTTTGAACATGTTTGGGTGGTCAGAGTTTAGCTCCCGTTGCGTGAAGGCCGATATTTTTCGGGCTGTAACACTCGATTCCACTGGCTCGCCATTCCACTTGAGTGTAACGTTGGGGCAGGGAGGTTGGGGTAAACATCTTTCTGCATATTTTCTATTCATAATTTTGATTGGCAATGTATCCATAGCATTACACAACGTCCTTGTCACTGCATATTATAAGACCCGATCGGTAGTGGTAGTATTTGTGGTCAGTCTTACACTAGCGAACCCCGAACCCAATCCACTTTGCGTTCACACTCGCGTTTACGCCCGATCCCGATCCGCCGCAAGTGTCTTGAACTACCTCCCCGAGGTGGTTTACTTTTGGATCGGGATCGAAGAAAATCAATCCCGATTGGAGCGTTCACACTGCGAAAACCGATCCGGATTGACTTCATTTGCATAATTTTGATCCCGATCGGCGGCCGATCCGGATCGACAAGTTTCACTGTGAACGGGGTGTTAGAGACAATAAATCCATCGCCCATAGTCTGCAAAAAACGTACCTGCAGCTCCAGAATACATAAGTCCGTGTCAGGATCTTCGTGTACCGGTTCTGCCTTGAACTGGAAACGGCTGTACGACATCGGCTGCAACTTGCTACATAACCCTACACCACCCAGTGTCTGGTACAGCACCAGTTACCATGGTGACAGTTTAACGTACCTGTAGTTCCAGAATACAGAAGTCCGTGTCAGGATCTTCGTGTACCGGCTCAGCCTTGAACAGGAAACGGCTGTACGACATCGGCTGTAGCTCGTCTGTGTAATGGTGGAACTCCACATGTGCCTGTTCCAGTGGGGGAGGGTCGGTTTCGCTAGGATCCTTCCTCTGCACCTAGGGAAATATTTTATGAAAGTCCAAAAGGAAACAAAAGTTAGACAAGTTAAGACAAGGTGCATTAGGCAAGTAGCTCCTGTTGTTTCAGAACAGAAGATTAAGTGTTGTCTGTTCTCGGGGCTGGGAGCGCCAAGGGTTCAAGTGCCGGAGAGATCTACCCATAGCCCCCCCCCCCCTGTTGAGGGTGGGGTTGTACATTCTTTCATATATTTTCTCTCTCTAACTCTTGGCTCTCTTTGCATATCTGTAACTGTTTTTGGGTTTTTTTTTGCTACCATTGTAATTTAACATACATAAACATGAATAATGAGTTCCCACACCAGGAAGAAGCTTTAGAAGAAATCCCCGATGCCCCAGATATTACAGATAAAGGCCCACCAATAAGTAGGGAAGAAATCAAAGGCGCAATAAAGAAGATGAAATTCAGAAAAGCCCCAGGAGCAGATGAAATCACTGCAGAAGTGCTAGCTACGGGGGGTGAAGGTATGATTGACATGCTACATCTGATCTTCACTAAAGTATGGAATGAAGAGATACCACCTAGAGAATGGTCAAAAATGTTGGTTGTCCCCGTTTACAAGAAAGGAAGCAAGTTTGACCCCGGTAATTATCGGGCCATTGCACTACTGTCCATCCCCGGGAAAGTTTTCCTTAGGATCCTACTAGACAGGATGAGGGAAAGAACAGAAGCTCACTTCAAGGAATCCCAGTTTGGCTTTAGAAGCGGGCGGGGTACAGTTGATGCTGTTTTTGTGGTTAGACAAATTTTGGAAAAAGCGAGGGAAAGAATAGTAAACCTTCATTTCCATTTCATTGACTTCAAAGCTGCCTTTGATACTGTCTGGAGGAAGGCTCTGTGGAAAATGATGAGAGCCATTGGGGTAGAGGGGAAAATTGTAAACATCATAGAAGAAATGTATAAGAACACTCAGTGTGCTGTCATTATCAACAGGCAAATTACCAGTTGGTTCCAGGTGGGAGTGGGAGTCAGGCAGGGTTGCTTATTGTCACCTGTCCTTTTCAACATATTTCTTGAGTTTGTGATGGATGAGCTGAAAAGTCTTGATCCCACTTTTCAGCTACATGACAACCTCTCTACTGAGGAGAGATATGCTGATGACACCACTCTTATAGCAGCTATATTTAGAAAACTTCAAATCTCTACAACAGAACTTGAGTCTGCATGTAAAAAATGGGGGTTAAAGGTCAATGCGGCAAAATGTAAAGTTATCACTAGTGAGGAAGCAGATAACATCATGATAGATGACACAGCAGTTGAGAAGGTCCCTGAATTTGTCTTTCTTGGAAGTGTTGTCCCTGGCACGACTAGCGACATTAAGAGGAGGATAGCGCTTGCTGCCTCTGCATTTGGTAGGCTCAGAAAAACAGTATGGAACCGAAGGGATATTAGCAAAAACCTCAAAGTACGGCTGTTCCAAGCACTTATCCTGCCAATTGCTACATATGCATGTGAAACATGGACCCTGAAAAAATCGGACGAACTTCTACTGCTATCCTTTGAAATGAGATGCTTAAGAGTGATACTCTGCATCACCCTGAGGGACTGCATCCCAAATGCAGAAATCCGGTCAAGACTTGGGGCGGAACAAACCATCACTGACAGGATACGCACTAGAAGGCTCAGATGGTTTGGGCATGTGATGCGAAGACCGACAAACACCCTAGTTTATAAGGCATACCACCAGGACTTCCAAAACCCTAGACCCCGGGGAAGACCACCCAAGAGGTGGAAAGATCAGATACAGAGTGACACAGGGATTACTCTTAAGTGTAGCTGAGGCTATCGCTCTTGACAGAACTGGTTGGAGGAACCTGACGGAGGGGAGCAAGGGGCCAGTACCTGGCCTGGGCACTTAGGCAGGTAGGCAAACATGTACATGTACAAAAATACTGTTCCGGATCAGGGTATATATGTCTGACCTACCATTTCGCGAATGGCTTCCACCATGTGGTGACACGTCAGTAGATACCTGCTCCCCAGTCTGAAGCCACCTCCAATAGCTGGGGAGAGAAAAAGAACTTTAAAGTAGGTCCAATATTAAGAAATGACTGCCTTTATTCGTTTACATGTATTTAGCAAGAAATGGTATAATTATTGATATGAAGTTTATTCTAATTTCTTGCCCAAAGCAACTTGAAGCGCTGTACTTTATGAATATTGAAATTATTTAAGAAAAGATACCTATATCCTGGAAGCCCACCACGCCTACAGAGTTGAAGTGCTGCACTAAAGAGTACTGCATCCCTCATTTAACTCCGTCTCCGTCCTTACAGATCAGTGAGTACTGCTAACAGTGATACCCATCCCACAGTACATCTATTATAACATCTGGGCTATCTAGTGAGTACATCCCAAAAGCATGATACCTGCGTCCTGGAAGCCCACCACACCGACAGAGTTGAAGTGCTGCACCAGTGAGTACTGCATCTCGCCCGGCACTCCGTCCTTACAGATCGGGTCCGCCTCACAAGCCTCGCTCACGGCCTTCTCCATGTTAATCAGCTCAAACGCGTCACCGGTCACGTCAATCTGGGGGGTTAAAGGTCAAAGTTCACGTCTATCTGCAGGGTTAAAGTTCACGTCTATCTGCAGGGTTAAAGGTCAAATTTCACGTCTATTACCAGGATTTAAAATTCGAAGTTCACATCTAGCTGCAGGGTTAAAGGTCAAGGCCGACTCTATCTACAGAGTTTAAGTTCGAGGTTCTGCGGTGTTGACATTCTTTCTGTACCTTTCCGTCTATTACAGTTATGTTTGTTAGCAACATTTCTTGCTTGGCCTCTAACACCATTGGCGCGTTACCTTTCCTCCTGCGATGTTGGTTCTCTTGTCGAAGTCTGTCCGCAGCAGCTCGTCCTGAAGATCCGCTAAAATCTTATCAACCTCGAACCCATCAACGTCTTCTCGCACCTGGAGAGGACGAGTACACACATAGGCACAGTGATGTCTCTCTACAGGACAGTGCGAATGCGTACAAAATGCCATGTATTTCATCACTTCTTTGAATTATATCGATTTCCTGTTCTGTGTCCTTTGAACTGACTGAAGAACTGGTTGATGAAGACTACGAACACGGCTATAACGGTTAGTTAGATAGTCCCCTAGTATCACAGTCGCAGTAATGTAGGTTTGCCCCAGACACGGCTCTGGATACGTGTGGACGATCCAAAACCATGCTGACAACTGTTCTGGATAAAGCTATCCAGGATAAAGCATGGTTCTGTATAAAGCACGGTTCTGGATAAAGCGTGGTTCTGGATAAAGCACGGTTCTGGATAGAGCATCATTCTGGATTAAGCACGGCTCTGGATAAAGCATGGTTCTGGATAAAGCACTGTTCTGGATAAAGCATGGTTCTGGATAAAGCACGGTTCTGGATAAAGTACGATTTTGGATAGGGCATGGTTCTGGATAAACTGAGTGCGGTTCTAGATTGTTTGTTTGTTTGTTTGTTTGTTTATTAGATCTCCATTAGATTTACATGAAATCTATTCTTCCTGGAGTCACAAAATGATTTTGTGACTCATTTTGTAGATCAATTATGATTTACGATTAAGTAGGGTTCCGCATAAAGCACGGTTTTGGATAAAGCACACTTCTGGATAAAACACAGTTCTGGATAAAGCATGGTTAGGGATACGGTGTGGTTCTGGATAATGCACGGTTCTGGATAGAATGAGTACGTACCTCCTGTAGAGCACGCCGCATGTCCCAGTACTGCTTGCCGCTGTCTCCGCCCTCCCCAGCCCCGCCGGCTTTGCTACCCTCGCCCGTGTACTCCCCCAGGTCCCTCCCGATCAGGAACGGCGCCAGGCACCGCGACAGGACCCTGCCGGAAGGTACATGATGAAGGTTACACAATCCAAGTAAAACGTTACATAAGTCATAAGACATAAAATAAGACAAGCTACTGGATGTATCCTTTGAACTGGGTAAATATTCTGAATTGAACTTCTTCAGGAACGCTTGGGAACGATTGCACGTGTGCCATCAGGTTTGAAGCCGGTGTGGAGACGGGGGTCGTTACAATCTACCAAAGGCAACGACTGGGATTGAGAGTGCAATCTTTTGAGTTACAAAATAGTTAAAATCCTCCAAAATGTACATAGATTTACTAAAGACCTCCCGCTGCTTTCTAACACCGTAAGCAAAGCAATACCAATTCAGTGCCAAAAGCCCACATCAGTAGAAATGAGTTCCCCACCTCCCCTCGGGATCCCTGGCTGTCTCCGCCTCCTCGGAAGTAACCTGTTCCTCCCCAGCCAGCGCCAGTCGCACCGTGCTGCCGTGTAGTTCCGCGCCGGGGGACAGCAGCTGGTTACCCGAGTCGGGATCATCCGCTTTGGTCGCAACGAACCTAACATCAACAAAGGTCTTATGTTTAAACCCGTAAGTAATTTCATCAGGTTGGTAAACGAATGAATAGCAAAGTTCTTTGATCACAACCATTTATTTTTTTACAAGCCGACGTTTCGATGACCGTCTGTCATCTTCATCTGGGCAATTCTGACTGGTTGACTGTGCATTGACGCTAGATGTTACTTGGTTGATAGTGCACTAAAGGCGTTACGTGGTTCACAGTGCAATTAAGTTTTACTGTTAACAATGCATTTCCGAACGTAGTGCAATTGTGACATACATAGGCATTGCTAAGCATTATTATGTTAAGTTAAAACTTTTGATCCAACACAAAGAAGTTCCCTCATCTAGGGCTTTCGACCAGTCACTCTGGTCTTCCTCGGTAGAATGACCCAGTGAGACTTCAAAGAAGCCTCGTGACAAGCCTCATCGCTGGGTAACCAACAACGTGAATCGGTGTGTAATGTGTCGAGTGTCATACGTACATTAATTGAAAGGCCTAAGTCTTACCTACCAGAACAACACAATTCAGACTCAGTATGTGAATTGAATTGAATAAGTACGAGTATGGGCGAATCGGTGTGTAATATGTCTAGTATCGTACCTGTTTTTTTTTTATTCCAACATATCATGACAAGACATGGTGACGGCACACTCAAGTCATTTTAACTTATTTTATGCCGCCACTAACGCAGAGAATAAATAAGACAAACAGGACAATACTCATTTTCACTTGAGTTAAGTGAGGAAAGTTGTGTTAAAAGCCTTTCCCAAGGGCATATGCTCAGCACAGGACTCGAACTCGGGACCTCTTGGTTCCCAGTCGAGCACTCTGCCGCTACGCCACACGACCCCACGAATTATTGTCCTACCTGTTAACCCCCGCGCCGTTGAAGCGAGCGTCCCTGTACAGCGCGCGAAGAAGCGTCTCCCCCGGTAACACGTCCACCATCAGCGGCACTGCCTCCACATCCGCCTTCTCCTGAAAACCGCACATAATCATCCGTAAATATTTTCATCAGGTTGGTAAGACATTGAGTAAAGAGACTCTTTTTACACAACCAAGTCTTTTATTCAGCTGACGTTCCGGTGATCGTCTGTCACCTTCCTCAGGGCAATTCTGACTGGTTCACATTGCACTGCAGCTAGTGAACCAGTCAGAATTGCCCTGAGGAAGGTGACAGACGGTCACCGAAACGTCGGCTGAATAAAAGGTTGTGTAAAAGCTAGCCGACGAGTAACCGAAAGGTTGGCCAGGTAAATTTCCTACAGTTTGTACCACAATGCCCTTATTTGTCTATGGCCTGACGAATACAACTTCAACAAAACTGGCAATGAAAACATACATTGCCATGGCGACGGTGGTTGCTTTTAGGGTTATTGTTTGCATGGCACTGCCATCATTTCATGATTTTGAGCAAGACAGATACAGTGCACTCCTCCCCCGAGTGTATAGTGAACGAGCCCCGGGGTCACAGAAAGTAGGGCCATTTGTGCATGGCAGACAGGTCTTCTAGGTCTTCCCAAGGGTTTCCAGGAATGTGGGCATAGATGTGGGTCAGAGAAATGCCTGTGGATATTCCTGTGGACAAAATGCCTTTACAATTCCTAGAATTCTTGCGAATTGCACACAATACTGTACCTTTAGGCTCCTCCCTGAGACGTCGCCAAAATACAATGTAGAAAACGGTGTACCTCTTTTTTCAGCGCGTACGCCGCCGTCATACAGTCCTTGTGTGGGTCCGTCACGTACACCGCGCAGCGCTGTTTGCAGACCAGCTCCTGTTCCGTGTGCGCGCTCACCATCTGCGCAGCTGCGTGTTTACCGTCGTCGCCATAGAGACAGATTCTAGAAAAAAAAATGATGCAAACTCCGCTGTATGTTATGAAAAATGTTAAACTTTTCTCATGAATTTGACTCATCGGAATTTTCGACTGAATCACTCAGTCTTCCTCAGCTATCTGACCCAAATGCTGTGGACACGTGATTTTTTTCACGTGTGACGTCAGCAAAGGGTCAAAGGTTGTCTGAAGTCGATATCGCCCCCCGTCCCGGTTGAGCGATGGTTGAAGTGCCCTGATGTATATGGCCTCCACTGAATGTTGTATAGGATTTCATCATCGCCATCCGTAGAAATTAGTGCTTAGAACTGAAGTGTGCCATCATGCATTGTTTTACAGGCTTTTAAAAACTTGTTCGGTTTTACCGTACAATACATGGGCGCCGCCATGATGATCTGTGACGTCATGAGTCGGCCATCTTGTTATATTATCTGAATATTAAAACTAGTAACGTTACCATGTATGTTGTAGAATATAGTACAAAGTTAGACGTAGTCCCACATACCAGATACCATTGTATTTTCTTTCTTCATACATGTTGTTTGTAACTGCAATTAGCCCTCGGGCATGTATTTGCAGTAAACTTTTCATTAACCCGTTCTAGAAAGGCAAGAGGAAGTGACAACAACTGGTCTTACCTGAACACGCCTCCATCCAGACTCCGGGCTGGCACGCCCACGTTCGGTTCACCTTCGAACTTTGACCCCTTCTCCGGGACCAGGTAAGCCCTCCCCAGCTTCCCGGAGAGATCGGTCACGTGACCCAGGCTGTCCAATAGCGCGTGGATGGTGGGTTTCGGGCCTGCGCAATGGATATCAAACCTCTCGGTTTTCCCGCCGCCTCCTCCGCTCCAGATCACCGAAAAGGAAACTCCAACTGTGTCATGGGAACAACATAGAGGAAAGTTGCCTTAAAAACTAGAAAAATAACATTTGAAAAGCAAATGCAGAATTTTTACCTTCACATGGTCTAGCCTGCTACTGCTCTGTTTATTTTTACTCAACAACATTCACATAAATATATATATATTGAGCAGCCGCTCCAACTGCCACTTGCTACATAATGTCTCTTACACCACAAGGTGTCTGCTACAGCACCAGTTACCATGGCGACAGACGTCCGGTCAAGGTAACCGAACTTATTTAGAAGGAAGAAAAAGAAGAAACAGAGCAATTTCTACTATTTTATCGGCAACCAAAGAGTGGGGGGGGGGCATCTCTGGTACATGTCTATATGACAATATCGGTGTATGTCTGTAAAAGTGATGACATTTAGAGTTCTCCCGCAAGTTTGAATAGATTTGTTTGCTGTTTCTGCTGCCAGATCAGATAAGTTCTTTTTCCCCGAAAATGAGTCTGGCTCTTGCAGAAAACAAATGCCATAGGCAAGACGTCAAACCACGTCACCCCTCCAAATAAGGGCAAAAATATCCTTCCTCTCAGACTAATCTTGACATCCTTGTGTATATGCATGCGCCTTGACGTTAGTTGTTGCACTGCGTACCTGCTGTCTGCACAGTCGAAATGTACGAGCAGGCAGAGCCTGTCCGGTCGCCTTTCTCCGGCCCCGACAGCCGCCAACCCAGCGGGCCGCCACCCCAACCCCGTCCCGTCCGACAGAGTGGTTCACGCGGGCGTGTCCGCCATGGCAACGGCGCTTCTGACAAGCAGCGGGAAGACCAGGACACGTCTTCACACACGTACAAAAACGCCGAGGAGGTGAAACGTTACGCAACGTCTGCAGGTAACCGACGTTTTTCACACCAGCTTTACACGGAGGCTACTTGTACTATCAAGTATGAGCTTTTTTTTGCAGTAGAGGGTATAAGAACACTTCCCGACTTTTGTATATTTTCCTGTATGGGTAAATTTGATGACAATGTTTACATGTTGACGTGAGCGATTATCGGTGAGCGAAATATGTTTTTCTACCAGACCGCGCGTATCCAGGTGGAGCGAGCGGCCGCCGGGGTCTGTGTAGCTTCCTCCGCGCCCGCAGCAGCTGCCTGGCCGCCGGCATCGCCGTGCTGCTTAGCCTGTGCGCCGTGGGACTCGCCCCTCTCACGTTCAGCAACAAACAGGTAACAGTCTTGTACCATAAAGCCTGTTGGCTAACTATTTTTCTCAATCTCATCACATTCTGTTTTAAGCCCCGTGTTACAAAGTTTGCTGCTGTTTTATGTGCGATTGTTTCTTACTTCGGTATTTAAATATTCTGACCTTTGTATACACATTTGTAGGAAATATCCCAATTGTCGACTGCTGTTGACGCCTTGAAGCGCGACCAAGACGACATGTCCACCACTGTTGACGCCTTGAAGCGCGACCAAGACGACATGTCCGCCACTGTTGACGCCTTGAAGCGCGACCAAGACGGCATGTCCACCACTGTTGACGCCTTGAAGAGCGAACAAGACGACATGTCCACCACTGTTGACGCCTTGAAGCGCGACCAAGACGACATGTCCACCACTGTTGACGCCTTGAAGCGCGACCAAGACGACATGTCCACCACTGTTGACGCCTTGAAGCGCGACCAAGAAGCCTTGCGCCGACTGTCCACCACTGTTGACGCCTTGAAACGTGACCTGGACAACGAGCGCAGCCCAACCGCCACCTCGGAGCCGCGTCTTCAAGAGAAAGCCTTACGTAAAGTTGTTTTCTGCTATTATATTGGTTCTTTATGTCACTAAATGTTCTAAAATAGTCACATTGCATCATTATGTTTCCTACTATATGCATACTATAACCAAATGTTGCATATATATCTTGATGTTCAACATGACCCATCCTTTGCCTGTTGCTGATACAAAGCATGTTTTCCAGCATCTTGCCCCGAAGGTTACACCAAGTGGCGTGGGATCTGCTACAAGGCCTTCAACACAGACAAAACCTTCGACCAAGCGACCGCGGCCTGTGGCGAAGACGGCGGCACCCTCGCCATGCCCCGAGACGCCGAGACCAACGCCTTCCTCATCACCCTGCACAACTCCGTGAGCGAGTATCGGCCCTTCTGGTTCGGCCTGCACGATCAGCGCGAAGAGGGGAGGTTTGAGTGGGTGGACGGGTCTGCACTTGGGCCGTACAGCTCCTGGGGTCCGGGACAACCGGACAACTATGGGGGCAGGGAAGATTGCGTCCGTTACTTCGCGTACTCAGCCTGGAAATACAAGTGGCTCGACCATGACTGCCGCCTGAAGTTTTACTTCATATGCCAGACTGCTCCAGGTACTTATTGTATCCTCACTATTTCCTAAAACCCTTTTATCTAGTAAACATGGCACAGCTTAAGCACCCATCAGGATAAGGCAGCAGACAATCATTGCTCCTGGCACAAACCTTAACTGAACCATTATATACATCTTATGCCTGATTATTCTTATTCTTTTTCCAGGACGTGCATAGGCGACAGGCGGGACTCTCACCAACACTGTACTGCGGCTTTCTGACTTTCCGCAGTCAAACTGACTAGTAAGACTTACGACTAAACTACATGTAGTACACATGGATTTAAGACTAATTTTTAAAACGTTTGACTAAAACTTTTTAAAAGTATTTTTCCAAAGATTCCCACAAGAATGATCACATTTGTGACTCACTCTCCTGTGCCCCGACTTCGAACTTTCTCGACCAGGACAAATTTTGCCAATACTACGGAAGCAACCTTTTTTTTTCCTGCATACTCCATGGAAAAAATTCCACGCTGAAAGCGTATTTCCTAGAACTACATCACTATTGAACAAGCTTCCCTGTGAATGCTTTCTAAATGGGTACAACCTTAAACTATTTAAAATCTAAGGTAAAAAAAATCTATCATTACAATCCTCTTTTTGTAACCCAAAACATGTGAGTGGTTCGCATGAGCTTGGTTTTCAGACGAAAATTGTACTAAATAAAAAAAAATTCTCAGAAGAAATACTGAATAGAATGTTATTTGAAGCAGCACTGTACTATTGTAGACACTCTTCAGTTTCCACACGGAGAGAATTTACTATTTAGGTTTCCCTTCTTGTATACTGCTGAACCCAATTTGCATTGGATTAATAGCAGCTGCACATGTGTTAGTTACAAAACAGGTGACCGGTACAAATAAAAACAAGGGTAACTGAAGGAGGGGACACTAAGGAACGTAAATAACTGAATCTGTGGGTGAAAAGACAAGACAGTGCGTTTTATGTCTATCATTACATGGTATATAATCTATAGAATTGTATATTCCACGTTATGTATACATAACCTTTATTACTTCAGCCCAAGAGAGGGAAGTGTCGTTTTGAGCTTAGCTTACCGCTAGTGGTTAGGATTTGGCGCTCTCACAGCCAAGGCCCGGGTTCTATTCCCGGTGTAGGAAAACCATTTTTGTGTATATATGACAACGTTGGTGCATGCGCTATTCAAAAGGGAGAAAACATGCCACTGTCATCTAGTGTAAACAATATCTACTATTTTGTCGGCAACCAAAGAAGTGGGGAGGGGGGCTTGGGCATGTCTGCTACATGTATGTATGACAACGTTCGTGCATGCGCATCATGTCTGTAAAAGTCACGAAATTTTACCGATTACCATAAGAATTCTCTCTTATGTTTGAATAGCTTTGTTTGATGTTTCTGGCTACCAGCTCAGATTACTTCTTTTTTCGCGAAAATGAGTCTGGCTCTTGCAAAAAAACAAAATGCTATTGCATCATCTCATAAAACAATAATTCTCTCTTATGTTTGAATAGATTTGTTTGATGATTCTACCAGCCCAGAATAATTTCTTTTTCCACGAAAATAAATTGTTAACAATGGACACCTGTAGATGTCTTTTCGTGGGCAAACTATATCCATAAGATGTTTTGTAACGCACGAGACTAAAAACGTGAATAAACATCAAACAAGAAACCTTCGCCATGGCAACAATTCTTATTACTAATCTTGTGTTGTAAGAAATAGAATATCACCTGGGGTGAAAGTATGACATGCAGATAGAGATAGAACGGACATGGCTAACCTATAAATCCCTCTATTTCACTTAAAAATGCTTTTTAAAAGGGACAAAACATAAAACATGAGTATTGCTGCCACTGTCATCTAGTGTAAACAATATGTACTATTTTGTCGGCAACCAAAGAAGTGGGAAGGGGGGCTTGGGCATGTCTGCTACATGTATGTATGACAACGTTAGTGCATGCGCACATGTCTGTAAAAGTCACGAGATTTTACCGATTAAAATAAGAATTCTCTCTTATGTTTGAATAGATTTGTTTGATGTTTCTGCCTACCATCCCTCACTACTTCGTTTTCCACGAAAATGAGGCTCTTGCATAAACACAAAATGCTATTGCATCACCTCATCCCACGTCATTCTTCCAAATACGGGCAAATGTAGCCTTACTATGTAAGACTAATTAAGGTGTTAGTTGCCATATTCATGAATTTTGCACAGTGTGCACAGTACGGCCGAAATGTACGAGCTGGCGGGACTCACCACTACCGAACAGCGGCTACCAGAACATCCGCAGTCAAACTGACTAGGAAAACTTCAGACTAAAACTTTAGTATTTTTCCAAATGTTCTCACAAGTTTAATCTCGCTTGTGCCCCCACTTCTACCTTTCTCGGCCAGGACACGTATTGCCACTACTACGGAAGCAAGTCACCCTTTCTTTCCCCATACTCCGTATATCAGGAGAAAGTGCCTCTTGCAAAAAAAAACAAAATGCTATTGCATTATCTCATACAATGATAATTCTCTCTTATGTTTGAATAGCTTTGTTTGATGTTTCTACCTACCAGCCCAGATTAATTTCTTTTTCCACGAAAATAAATTGTTAACAATATAATAAACACCTGTAGATGTCTTTTCGTGGGCAAAATATATCCATAAGATGTTTTGTAACGCACGAGACTAAAAACGTGAATAAACATCAAACAAGAAACCTTTGCCATGGCAACAATTCTTATTACTAATCTTGTGTTGTAAGAAATAGAATATCACCTGGGGTGAAAGTATGACATGCAGATAGAGATAGAACGGACATGTCTAACCTATAAATCCCTCTATTTCGCTTCCAAATACTATTCAAAAGGAAGAAAACATAAAACATGAGTATTGCTGCCACTGTCATCTAGTGTAAACAATATCTACTATTTTGTCGGCAACCAAAGAAGTGGGGAGGGGGGCTTGGGCATGTCTGCTACATGTATGCATGACAACCATAGTGCATGCGCACATGTCTGTAAAAGTCACGAGATTTTACCGATTACAAGAAGACCGCTCCCTTATGTTTGAATAGAGTTGTTTTATGTTTCTGCCTACCAGCCCAGACTACTTCGTTTTTCACGAAAAAGAGGCTCTTGCATAAACAAAATGCTATTGCATCACCTCATCCCACGTCATTCTTCCAAATACGGGCATATGTAGCCTTACTCAGACTAATTAAGGTGTTAGTTGCCATATTCATGAATTTTGCACAGTTATACACTGCGCAACAATACAGTCTGCACAGTACGGCCGAAATGTACGAGCAGGCAGAGCCTGTCCGGTTGCCTTTCTCCGGCCCCGACAGCCGCCAAACCAGCGGGCCGCCCCAACCCCGTCCCGTCCAACAGAGTGGTTCACGCGGGCGTGCCCGCCATGGCAACGGCGCTTCTGACAAGCAGCGGGAAGACCGGGACACGTCTTCACACACGTACGAAGACGCCGAGGAGGTGAAACGTCACGCAACGTCTGCAGGTAACCGACGTTTTTCACACCTGCCTTTTACAGTGGATATTTTCACTATCAGAGGATAATATTTTAAGCGTATATGTTAACCTACTGATTTTTGCTTAGTTTGCTGTACGGACTAATTTCATGACAACAAGAAAACCCTCCATTGTTTACTGTACGCCCCTCATGTAAAATTCATCAGCAGGGTACGCGAACGTTCTCGCACCGGATTCGGTACGATGGAAATCACGTCTTCGTCAAAGGTACACTTTTCCTGCCACATGCACAACGGGCCTTAGTCCTTAGAAATATCACTGTGTTTCTGACATCAGTCGTGAAAAACAGGGTAGTTAGGTAGGAATCAGGGCTTCATTTGCAAAATTAATACCTTTTGATGGATTAATGGGATTTCATACTGGTGAGTGAATTTAAAGTTAGCTGAAACTGGGCATCACTATGCACATATTTTGTAGATCTTGGAGCTATTTGCATAATTAAGGATGAAATGTTAAATTCTGGCTTTGTTTTGTTGATATAGCGTTTAAGTTCTATATCTATTCATCAACATGTTTTGAGTTAGTAAGTTGACTTAAGCGATAACCTGAGCGAAATATATTTTTCTACCAGACCGCGCGTATCCGGGTGGAGCGAGCGGCCGCCGGGGTGTCTGTAGCTTCCTCCGCGCCCGCTGCAGCTTCCTCGCCGCCGGCATCGCCGTGCTACTGAGCCTGTGCGCCGTGGGACTCGCCCCTCTCACGTTCAGCAACAAGCAGGTAACAGTCTTGTACCATAAAGCCTGTTGGCTAGCTATTTTTCTCAATCTCATCACATTCTGTTTTAAGTTACAAAATTTGCTGCTGTTTTTGTGCGATTGGTTCTTACGTTCGATATTAAATATTCTGACGTGTGTATACACGATTGTAGGAAATATCCCAATTGTCCACCACTGTTGACGCCTTGAAGCGCGACCAAGACGACATGTCCACCACTGTTGACGCCTTGAAGCGCGACCAAGACGACATGTCCACCACTGTTGACGCCTTGAAGCGCGACCAAGACGACATGTCCACCACTGTTGACGCCTTGAAGCGCGCCCAAGACGGCATGTCCACCACTGTTGACGCCTTGAAGCGCGACCAAGACACCTTGCTCCGACTGTCCACCACTGTTGACGCCTTGAAGCGCGACCTGGACAACGAGCGCAGCCGGACCGCCACCCTGGAGCAGCATCTTCGCAAGATTGGGAAGACTTTGGTTTTTAGTAGATTTTGGAAGATTCATTGTTCATGAAGCATCTATTTCATGTATTTCATCATTTTAACATGATCCTTTGCCTGTTGCTGACACAAAACTTGTTTTCCAGTATCTTGTCCCGAAGGTTACACCAAGTGGCGTGGGACCTGCTACAAGGTCTTCAACACAGACAAAACCTTCGACCAAGCGACCGCGGCCTGTGGCGAAGACGGCGGCACCCTCGCCATGCCCCGAGACGCCGGGACCGACGCCTTCCTCATCTCCCTTTACAGGTCCGTGGGCGGGGACTTCTGGATCGGCCTGCACGATCGGCACGTAGAGGGAAGGTTTGAGTGGGTGGACGGCTCTCCTCTTGGGTCGTACAACAACTGGGGTCGGGGACAACCGGACAACCGGAGGGGCAACCAAGATTGCGTCCTTTACTCCTCGTTCTCATTCTCAGTCATCATGAAAGACAAGTGGGTCGACTATTTCTGCCACGAGACGTTTCGCTTCATATGCCAGACTGCTCCAGGTACATATTGCATCCCCTATTTCTTAAAACCCTTTCATCTAGTAAACACGGCACAGCTAAAGCACCCATCAGAATAACCATAAGACCATCATGGCTCCTGTTACTAAAGTCTAAATACTAAATCATTCTACATCTCATCCCTGCTAATTCCTCCTTTTTCTTTTCAGGACCTCCATAGGCATAGACGACAGGCGGGACTCTCACCACTACTGAACAGCGGCTCCCCGAACATCCGCAGTCAAACTGACTAGTAAGACTTAAGACTAAAACTTCAGTGTTTTTTCCAAATGTTCTTACAAATTTTATCTCGATTGTGACCACCTTTCTCGATCAGCACACGTTTTGCCACTACTACGGAGGCAAATCACCCTTTCTTCTCCACGCAGTACTCTCCAAATCTCTCAGGAGAAAGTTCCACGCTGAAAGTTTCTTTCCTAGAACTACATTGTGAACGCTTCTCAAATGGGTAAACCTTTTCTTTTATGGTAAAGAAACATCTGTCTTTGCAGTTCACTTTTGTAACCCAAAACATGTTAGTGGTTTGGATGAGCCTTCTTTTTAGACGAAAATTGTAGCGAATAGAAAATAGTCAGCACAAGAGAAATACTGAATGTAATGGAATGAAGCAGTACTGTACTATTGTAGCCAGGCGTCAGTTTTTACAGTTTACGTTTCAAGTCCATCATTACATGATTGAATCTATAGAGTTGTATATTCTGAATAATCTAGACATTCCCTTTTAGCAGTACTTCACCCCAAGAGAGACGTGTGGTTTTTGATTTGTCAGTATGAGCTCAAGAATATCTTAGAAAAACAGTTTCATAATCTGCATTTGGTTGACTTGAAGTGAAAAAGTCAGAAAGCAATGATGGTGATGATATTGTGTGTTACTTGCCTGGTTTGAGAAAGTTTTTGTTGCCACCTTGGACAGTCATCACTGACAGATCTGCAAGATAGGAGAAAACAGAGAAACATGAAGTACAAATTTCCTTTGTCTATAACACGAACTCATCTTATGAGGATTGCAAAAATAATGATTTTATACAGTTCTGTTATAGTTCGGAGTATTGCACCCAATTAGATTCACAACATTGTTTCATTATATTCATGAACACATAACAATACAGTAACAAAGACCGTGTGGCGCTGCACTCAAGTTTAAAATTTATCTTAGCAGCGCCACACAACAAAATACAATTAACATACAATAACACAACATAATTGACAAAGGGACAAACCAGTTACCCTTACTGGTTACGGGCTGACCAACTATAGTGTTTTGCCCACGAAGATGTCTACTAGGACACTGGGGACAAACTTATGACTGGTGTATTTATTTATTTATTTATTCGGCTGTAAAAATAACAAATTGTACAGCCAGGGCAGCCCAACTAGCCAGGAGGCTATTATTAAGGGCTTGCCCTGCTGACAAGACAAACATTTACACATACATTACAACAATACAATACATCAACGTGGAGAGGTCAGGGTCATACACCTAAGGCTGGTTTATTGATGTAAGGCTTAGATTCTAAGGCCTAAGACTGGTTTATTGATGTCAATGTAAAACAGTTTTGCAGAACCCAGGGGTTCTGAATTGCACTTTTGCTCACAATTACAAAGATTAAGACTAAAGACGTAGCCCATTAAAAGCTTTAAAATCAAACAACATCTATTACAACATATGCACATATGAAAAAATCTATTAAAGTAGAGTTTATAAGTGTTAATAAGTTTGCATTGCTGATGAATGAACTTACAGACTAACCTGGGCTCAAAGTATATAAAACATTGTTTAGAGTTAAAACTTTTGGCCCAACCCAAAAAATTCTCTCACCTAGAGCTTTCGACCAGTCACTCTGGTCTTCCTCAGTAGACTGACCCAGTGAAGATCTAGGTGGGATAACTTTTTTGTGTTGGATCAAAAGTTTTAACTCTAAACATGTAACTACCAACACAGATGAGCTTTCATGATTACATAAAATACTGTTGATGTTTGGTTTAGACAATCGGCTGTTGAGCGTTTTGTAGACTGTGTTAAGTTTACTGTAAACTTGGACTTTAATACCTCTCAACATACTTTGTTCAGCGATTTGAACTCATTTTGTTTGAATTAGTGACAGCATGAATTATGTTCGCTTAACTTGTGCATTAGTGAGAGTTGGCCAATATGGCTCAATACTATTCTTATTCACTGCCAACCTCTACATAAGGACCACCTGAATGTTAGGGCATGCTAAATATCAGCTGTAACTGAATGAATGAATGACGACTTTTATTGCACATTTTTGTCAGAAAGGCAATTAGTGAACTGTTATTAATATGTACACATTCAGTGGCTATTACTCACTATAGCAAGTTACATGCAAAAAAACTCTAAGTACAGGTCACAACAAAATATGAATAATCATTTATTCATATTTTGTTGTGACTTGAATGAATGAATGAATGAATGAATGAATGAATGAATGAATGAATGAATGAATGAATGAATGAATGAATGAATTTATTGCTCGACAATTGTACATGGTACAATGTGTGGCAGTAAGACAACAATATTACAAAATGTGATGAAAAGATGCTGTCCACAGATACAAAATAAAGCTATCATTCTCGCTTCAAAATTCAACTTCTCTCTTTTCAGTTACTTTTTATAGTAGAGATAAAGGAACAGATATGTTTTTCGATGGAAGGTTTTCCTAGTTACGTTAGGAATATAATTTTCTTACAGTGTTAAAGAATGAATGAATGAGTGAGTGAATGAAAGAATGAATGAATAGATGAATGAATGAATGAATCAATCAATCAATCAATGAATGAATAAATAAATGAATGAATGACTGAATGAGTGAGTGAATGAATGAATGAATGAGTGAAAGAATGAATGAATGAATGGATGAATGAATGAATGGATGAATGAATGAATGAATGGATGAATGAATGAATGAATGGATGAATGAATGAATGAATGAATGAATGAATGAATGAATGAATGAATGAATGAATGAATGAATGAATGAAAGTGTAACGTTACTTACCGCCGTTTCGCAAGAGTGGGTCCTTCGGCACTACCCAATCAGAATCGCCTGTAGAATGATATGAAGTCGTCATTATTAATGTCAGAGATTATCCAGGTCTAATAGATTGTACACATATACCTGGAATAGACAGTTCTTATACATGTAAAAGTGTCTGATAAAATTTTTACCTGCTCCTTGGTTGTACTCTGCGCTCATCCTGGCAAACTCTCGTTCCATCTGCTTGTTCTCTTCTGCTAGTTTTGTGAGAGGGCCTGGCAGGGTGACAAGGCAAAAGTTAGCATGTTGTTAGAGGGCCTGGCAGGGCGGGAAGGCAAAAGTTAGCATGTTGTTAGAGGGCCTGGCAGGGTGACAAGGCAAAAGTTAGCATGTTGTTAGAGGGCCTGGCAGGGCGGGAAGGCAAAAGTTAGCATGTTGTTAGAGGGCCTGGCAGGGCGACAAGGCAAAAGTTAGCATGTTGTTAGAGGGCCTGGCAGGGTGACAAGGCAAAAGTTAGCATGTAAAGAGGTGCCAAAGTCACAAGAATTTATACGGATATTTTACACAATTCATACGAATTTTACGGAATCCATAGGAATGTTACGGAATCCATAGGAATGTTACGGTGTACATACAATCCATTACCAGGAGTATTTCAAAAAAATCTACACGTTAGTGTGTGTGAACTGGCGCGGCTTATCCACGCCCGAGGCATTATACCTTTTACGGGCCATGAACACAAAAGCAGCGATAGTATTACTGTCTATTCGCTTTATCCATGCATAGACACATTTAAGTGTACTTTGTGAAGGTTTAAGGTACCCACAACGCAGTACCCTTAACTGAAATGACAGTACTGTAGCAGTATCGTGATGTTGTTATTATGAGGCCTGGTTGTAGGTAGCACACTGGTGTCGAGAGACGATTAACACATGGTTCATTTCATTCATTCAACCTTAAGTGGTTAGACTGGGTTTTAGGACTATTCCATTTGTCATTTATGGGGGAGACCAATTCATAATAATTGTACATGTACATGTATACTACAAACACAGTCAGTACACCTTCACATATTGATATGAAATTTCTCTGGAAATGTTGTGTTTTAAAGATAATTTGTTGAATGTTTTGATTGAAAAAAATAGGTAATTTAATTCTCCTCACTTTCAGCAAAACGTGACGTTGTGTTCACACGTCATACGCGCAAGGACAATTGTGCGTGACCTTGCTAGCAGGGTGGGAGGGGGGCGAGCTGGGTTAGTCTAGATTGTGTACCTTTATATAGCACGTCTGTACTGAAAACAGACAATGTCTAGGCGAGATATATTATTGCCTTAAGAGTAAATAGAAACAGGCCATATTCAGTGTCTACCGTAAGAGTACTGATTTCAAAATGAAACAGTACTACGCCTTTCTGTATTCATACACCAAAATCCCTACATTTTACTAGGCGTTCGGTTATTGTAGAATTATAGCCATTTTGTGCATCCATGGAGGATCTCTTCTACCTCCATGGTGCATCTTTCCGATTGACCCCAAATGTTATCTGTTCTGGTCCAGGTCACTTATACGTTCTACGACACGATTACGACAGCAAATTGTGAGTATCAGTCTTGGAACAGTCGTGAATGTGTCGTACAGAATTCTGCTGTCTTGTGAGTTTCGAAAAGGTTGGCGTATGTCGTAGACCCTTATCGACAGTAGGTTATGTCACAGCCTCACTAAACAAATTATACGACGACAAAAAAATATACGATGGTGTGGTCGTGTGGCGTAGCGGCAGAGTGCTCGACTCGGAACTAAGAGGTCCCGGGTTCGAGTCCTGACTTGCCACCGAGCTTGTGCCCATTGGGAAAGGCACTTTCCTCACTTCGCTCAGGTGAAAATAGTGTATTGTCCCATGTGTTGATGGCGGCATTGATATAAGTTGAGTGTGCTGTCACCATGTCTTGTGGTTACGTGTGATTACATGCGACGACTATGACCGCACCTTACACGTCATATAACTACAGGTATTCTCTCACCTCCTATTTCTTGGGACCCTTTCTTCACAGGCATTCTTGGCGGTGTCTTCAGATTAAAAGACGTCTGAAGGTTCTTCTTCAATCGCCTGATTGCTGTTATCACTGATACTGCTTAAAGATATTTGTGACGAATGTCCTTAAAAGATTGTGCTCGTTTCGGCACCTTGTGTAGCCTGTCTGGCCTGACAGTGTACAGAGGGGGGACGCGCCCTTTGCACTGCCCTGGGGCGTTTGTCTCAATCTCCAAGCAGATACAGGGTCAGGCTCGGTGTTTTAGGCATGTTTGTGCTTGTTTTAGGCATACAATTGAACTAACAATTGAATGTATTTCCTTTTATTTATTTCTGGGTCAGTATGGTCAGACGAGCAAAAAAAAATGTTACATATAAATTCAGATACTCATTTATATACAGATATAACTTGTTTTTAGACTCAAACAAAAAGCTTGAACCTGGTCGAGTGTTGACCTCTTGTTTCCTTATTACTTCTTCCGAGACAGCAAGGGTCTTAAGTGCTTCTTCTGCATCTTAAAGTATCTATATAAAAATCCTTACAAGTCGCCAAAGTTACCACCAAAGCCTTATGAACGTTTGCTAGCTTGCCTAAATGAATACTAGTATTGCAACGATCAGACACGGTTCTGGGTCGTCTCCAAGTATCCAAGAACGTAGATTTGCACCAAACACGGTTCTGGATACGCGTGGACTACTAGTATCCATAATCGTGCCTGAGTATGGTTCTAGATGAAGCACGGTTCTGGATAGTGTCCACTTGCCCAAGAACGTAGATTTTTCACAAGCACGGTTCTGGATACGTATGGACTACTAGTATCCATAATCATGCCTGAGCATGGTTCTGGATAAAGCGCGGTTCTGAATACAACCAAGGACATTATACAGATGTCCTTGATACAACAGATCCTTAGCTACTGCCTCAGTAATTCATTTTAAGTATCTGAACCCCTTACAAGTCTCCGTCATGCTCGTGCCTCCTCGCCACCAAAGGTTTGTCCACGTTCCGCATCAGGTGGAAGTAAAAGTTCATCACCCTCTCGTAGTCCTGCACGGAGATCCTCTCGTTCACGCCGTGAAATCTCGTGAGATCTTCGGGGGCCATGACGTTCGGCGAGAACCGGTAGATGGCGCTCGTGAGGTTCCAGTAGTGACGCGTGTCTGACGTCACAGAATGATGAAAGAAACATGAACATTTGAAGGTAGCCAAGCAAATGCACAATGTTAACCTTCATATGGTTTAGCCTACCAAACTACTGCTCTGAAATGAAACAAATTGCAAAAAATATATAACATGAAAAACGATAAAAGCTGAACAATAAATTGTGAACTTCAAGGAAGTGTTTTAGGTTTTCTGTAAAAGTATTGGAGCTGTATAAGACCATGCATGATGTAATTAAACCGAGTATTACGCCCCTTTCTGAATTTTTGCACACACTGACAAACTCTCACCTACCTGAATCGTGCTGGTCAACCTTCAACTATGGCCAAACTACCAATCATCAACTGTCAAAATCACCTCCCACCACCTTGCAACAGTCACCATTCGGCCAGAAAACATACAAACTGAAAACTGCCAGCCACCCAAAACAATACTCCCGTCCCGAAAGTAACAACAAAACGAGTTCTTCCTCTAACATACCTGTGAAACCTATCATAACAAAAGGAGCCACCAGCGAGTCGGGGTAGATCTGCTGGATACTTTCCTGTATCGCCATGTACGCCGGCGACTCCGGGCCGCTCGGAGAGACTGGCGCGGGAACTAACGACTCCACCACCTCCATCTTCACCCTGGGGTCGTTGATGACTTCAGGTTGTGCTCTAGAACCTCCTGGATGGTCTGTTTGGGATGGACTCGGTGGTTGACGATGGCGACTGCCTCGGGAGCGATGACGTTGTCCTTGATGCCGGCGTTGAAGCGCGTGACGGCCGTGGTGGTTCGGCACAAGGCGTTGGTGCTGGGCTTCTGGGCCAGAACCCACCGCACCACGGGTGTGAAGAGCCACAGGTTGGCAGTGAGCAGGCGGGGCAGGAGGCTCATTTCGGTCGCCAGGTGCTCGGCAAAGTCTCGCTCGGGACCGGAACCCCAGAGGTTCGGCTGGAGGTTCCTCTCCAAGTTGGTGACTGCCTGGGACAGAATGCCGATAGCCGACTCTTTCTCAGGCATAGACCCGTGCCCTCCCTTCACCCGTACACTCAACTTCACTGTTACGTAACCCTTCTCGGTAACACTAATCAAGGCAACTTTCTTGTCAACCCCTGGAACATAATTTTTCATTACAGGTTCACCCTCATCTAGAATAAACTCTAGTTTCACTCCGCGGTCCTCTAGCAATTCTCCAATTTTTCTCGCCCCGTAGGGCCCTAAAACTTCCTCGTCGTGTCCGTAGGCGAGGTAGAGAGTCCGTCTGGGTCGATAACCCCTGTTCAGGTGGAATTCTAGCGCCTCCAGCTGCCCCAGGACGTTATGTTTGCAGTCGATGGTCCCCCTGCCGTACACAAACCCGTCCTTCTGCTGCCCGGAAAACGGCTCGGCTTCCCAGCCAGGTTCCTCCGTCACGGGCACGACGTCCAGATGGGCCGCCAGGAGCGCGGGTTTCAGCGAGCGGTCCGAGCCCTGCACGCGGTACAGCAGGCTGAAGTTGCCCACCACCTCTCTCGTCACGAGCGGGGAGGCGTGCAGCGCGGGGAAACTGGCGCGGAGGAAGGCCAGGAACTTCCGCAGCTCCTCGGGCGTGCCTCGCCCCGGCTCGTACGAGACGGTGCGGAAGGTGACGGCCTGGCTGAGCCGGTCCAGCCGGGCTCGGGTGGCGGGGATGAAGTCTTGGTCCGTGGCGTTACAAGGCGGCGGGCGCGTCTGGTAGGAAGGGAAGGTGGCGGTTCGGACCACCACGATCACAGCCACACACAGCAAGGCAGCGCCGACCCACTGCAGAAAACTTCGCGCAGTAGACATGGGGCAACCTTGGCCGTGAACTGGTCTATGTAGACAGTGCTGCTAAATATGTATCAGCAAAAATAGCTTGATAACAACGACATACTAGTAACATCAAGCGAACGTTAACCCACAATAGCAACAATTGTGCGGAAGACGTTGGTTGTACATGTAGGTATTAAGGGCAGGGTTGAAAGGTCGTAGTATCTGTGTGGTTGAACCGGTCTATTGTCCCCGTAATCATTTGGCGTATCAAATAAACACACAGGCCTCCCGCCCAGGCACGCGACTGACGTCGAATGGTCTGTCACAATTCCAGCCTAACTGTGGAAACCGCCACAGGTTTGTAAATGTGCCACTGCTGTATAAATAGACAAAAGTGATGCCTTCCGCATTGGCCAGTGGTCTAGTGCTGAGAAAGGAGGGCGTTACTTTTCTACATATATTTGCCACAGGTCTGTAACATCTACTGTGGATACTAGTAGTCTCTACCAGACTAACTACGCTGGCTATATACATATAGGAGAATATTTACCAGGGGAGTTTGGCCGCCTTGTAGGTTTGACTGGCCGCGCAGGAGGGAAAGAAACAACCTCCCCGCGGCCGGACTCCCTTGGCCAATTTTACTCTCTTTTTTGCCGAATTCTACGATCCGTATTCCCGTAGAAAGGCCTGGTGGAGGCCAGACTAAGTACAATTAAAGCGAACTCTACCTAATCACATAGACACATACATTTATGCAATTACCAAAAAGCGAGAGGAAGTCAAAAGTACTTGTGTATACTTAACGTTTATATATACATCTATATATACTGCATAGGATTGTTAATATGTGACTTGTGCTTAGCCCAGTGGGGCATAACAATAAATAGGATATAGAGGTTTTCTCCTACACAGCCACAACCTCTTACCTTGTTTACGTTTCGGTGTCTGTCAGGCATAAAGCGGCGAGAAGCAGAACTCCTATCAGAAGCTCCGAGGAAGTGTCTGATAGACACCGAATTAAAACGCAAGAAAGGTACTAGTAAGAGAATATTGTCTGTGTAAGAGAAAACGCCTATATCCTATACTCTACCAAACCGATGGAAGTGTCTTTAGTAATTAAGGGTGGTCCTTTGTACGTGTGGTTCTCCCGGTCTGACCACTCGTGATCACTCGGCGTATCGGACAGACTAACCAGGCAAACGACTGTCATCGGGCGGTCTGCCAACATCTACTGTGGATACATTTGAAACAGAGGTTGGAAGTAAGCTCACTCTTTTTTTCTGCCAAATCCTTACCTCAGACGATGGCATTTTAAGTGTCTACGCGTGTTTCAAAAGGAAAGAAGGTACCTTGCAGATATAGACGTAAGATAGTAATTTAGTGATTATTTATCCTACCCTAATATTTGAGTCATCTAACCTGGTACATTTGGCCCGTGTAAGGTATGAATATGCAATTAAGCGCATTGTTTTTGTCGCTGTAAAACGCCCAATCCACTAAGGCGTCTTCGTGCATGATACTAGTAACCTATTGAACACTATCACTCTTCTACATGACATGATGACGTGGCTAATGGCTAAGCTTTAGTTGTCTGCGCGACGTTATTGAATTGGCAGGACAGTATATGTCACCGTGTTTGGCTTGTTAAAAGGAAACCAGTAATAAAAAGACCGATAAAGCGCCTGAAACTCAAAAAGAACACTTTAAGAAACAAGCCAAAGCCTAAACCTCTGCTTGTAGCTTAGACGTGAGGTAAACCACCTTTTTTTAACACTCGTGTCCCATAGATTTACAGAAACAAAACTTAGCAACGTGTTTATTACCTAAAACTGTACCAAGTTTAACTTCGCCTTTTTCCGTGTTAAGTTACATGCACTTTTGAAACACAAGAAAAACGCTAAAAGTGCACCCAGAACTATACCATATTGCGCCTGGCTCTTTGGCAGAACACGTGTGTGATACTGTCCTGTCATGTGCGACTGGTTTTTCCAGTTCCTTCACGTGATTAGGCATGTTCTCTCAATTCATTTTAGCGACGCTAAAGAAGAGTGACGAATACTTGATTATTTGACAAGTGTCACTGACGAAAGGTAGTGGATACTACCTGAAACGTCTGACCTTTTCTAAAATCACATCCAGTCGCTTGAGTAAACTGTTCGTTGCGTAAGAAAGAGTAACGGATGTCGCTCAGAAAGTAATCTCAGAAAGTAATGTCCGGAAGTAATCTCCGTAATTTATCCAGTACTAGAGTTGTTTGGTTTGTCTCTGAACACCTGTGGTATAGCGGGTGGACTTTGCCCCTAACCTGGTATCCAGTCAACCGTAGTTCGGACATGCTCTCTTCGGGACTGTAGGAGCATTCTGCCGCCTGACTCAACTAGATACTCGGTAGGAGTTTACACGAAGTTTGAGTTAATCTATGACAATGCTAACCACGTAAAACACCTACCGAGGGTCTAGTTGTGGCAGGCGGCGGAGAGTTCCTTTATCCCCGAAGAGATCCCGCCCAGCCCACGGTAGACTGGACGCCAGGCTACGAAGCAAACATTGTGGCTTCGCGGTGTCATTTGAGGTCGCCCTTATGGACTTCGGTCCCTTGCCTTTACATTTACTTTAAACCTTCGTTACGTACAGAAGAATACAGCTGCAGCTTGCCTTGTGTTTCAGAGCTTTTTCTGCCGACTTGTATTTAGAGGTTTCGCCTGCTTGGACCAGTTCACGGCCAAGGTTACCCCATGTCTACTGCACAAAGTTTGCTGCAGTGGGTCGGCGCTGCCTTGCTGTGTGTGGCTGTGATCGTGGTGGTCCGAACCGCCACCTTCCCTTCCTACCAGACGCGCCCACCGCCTTGTAACGCCACGGACCAAGACTTCATCCCCGCCACCCGAGCCCGTCTGGACCGGCTCAGCCAGGCCGTCACCTTCCGCACCGTCTCGTACGAGCCGGGGCGAGGCACGCCCGAGGAGCTGCGGAAGTTCCTGGCCTTCCTCCGCGCCAGTTTCCCCGCACTGCACGCCTCCCCGCTCGTGACGAGAGAGGTGGTGGGCAACTTCAGCCTGCTGTACCGCGTGCAGGGCTCGGACCGCTCGCTGAAACCCGCGCTCCTGGCGGCCCATCTGGACGTCGTGCCCGTGACGGAGGAACCTGGCTGGGAAGCCGAGCCGTTTTCCGGGCAGCAGAAGGACGGGTTTGTGTACGGCAGGGGGACCATCGACTGCAAACATAACGTCCTGGGGCAGCTGGAGGCGCTAGAGTTTCACCTGAACAGGGGTCATCGACCCAGACGGGCTCTCTACCTCGCCTACGGACACGACGAGGAAGTCAGCGGCCACTACGGAGCGAGAAAAATCGGAGAACTTCTGGAAGAACGCGGAGTGAAACCAGAGTTTATCCTAGATGAGGGTCTCACCGTAACCAAAGGGGTGGTTCCAGGGGTGGGCAAGAAAGTGGCGATGGTTGCTATTACAGAGAAGGGTTACGTCACGGTGAAGTTGAGTGTACGGGTGAAGGGAGGGCACGGGTCTATGCCTGAGAAAGAGTCGGCTATCGGCATTCTGTCCCAGGCAGTCACCAACTTGGAGAGGAACCTCCAGCCGAACCTCTGGGGTTCCGGTCCCGAGCGGGACTTTGCCGAGCACCTGGCGACCGAAATGAGCCTCCTGCCCCGCCTGCTCACGGCCAACCTGTGGCTCTTCACGCCCGTGGTGCGGTGGGTTCTGGCCCAGAAGCCCAGCACCAACGCCTTGTGCCGAACCACCACGGCCGTCACGCGCTTCAACGCCGGCATCAAGGACAACGTCATCGCTCCCGAGGCGGTCGCCATCGTCAACCACCGAGTCCACCCCAAACAGACGATCCAGGAGGTTCTAGAGCACAACCTCAAGGTCATCGACGACCCCAGGGTGAAGATGGAGGTGGTGGAGTCGTTAGTTCCCGCGCCAGTCTCTCCGAGCGGCCCGGAGTCGGCAGCGTACATGGCGATACAGGAAAGTATCCAGCAGATCTACCCAGACTCGCTGGTGGCTCCTTCTGTGCTGATGGGAAACACAGGTGCGTAAACATGAGGAAACAACCATTTCCTAGTCTTTATTTGATTCATAATGACAGTTTTTTTCTTGTTGTTCGAAAATGTTTCACATATATAGATATTCCACAGTTCAAATACATTAACGTAAACCCAAACGATTTATTGTTTAGCTTTTATTGGTTTCAGAAATGTCACTTTTCTTTTGGAAAACATTGCTTCGTTTCTTCAAACACATAAGGTCAATGACCTGGACCAGACGTCTGTTACCATGGTAACTCTTGCTGTAACAGACACCCTGTGGTGTTGGGTAACATTCTGTAGCAATTAGGAGGGTAGAGTTGGTTAATTGGTCACCATAGACATGAATGTGTATATGAGTAAGAATACTAGTAAACAGAGCAGTAGTTTGCTAGGCTAGACCATGTGCATTTGCTTTGCAATTTTTACCATTTAAATGTTCATGTTTCGCGCGCTTCTTTCTTCATTCTGTGACGTCAGACACGCGTCACTACTGGAACCTCACGAGCGCCATCTACCGGTTCTCGCCGAACGTCATGACCCCCGAAGATCTCACGAGATTTCACGGCGTGAACGAGAGGATCTCCGTGCAGGACTACGAGAGGGTGATGAACTTTTACTTCCACCTGATGCGGAACGTGGACAAACCTTTGGTGGTGAGGAGGCACGAGCATGACGGAGACTTGTGAGGGGTTCAGATACTGAAGATAAATTTTACTGAGGCAGTAGCTAAGGACCTGCTGTGTCCAGAACCGTGCTTTATCCAGAACCATGCTGACACGGCTCTGGATAGTCCTCGCGTATTTAGAACCATGCCTAGGGCGAATCTACGTTCTTGGATAAGCGGAGACTATCCAGAACCGTGTCTGATCCTAACCCTAACCCATTCAGGCATAGAACTATGATGCACGGTTCTGGATAGAACAGTACTGACAGCCATAACAAGTAATGAAACATGTAGCCAGTTCTTTGATAGGCGGGTTAAAGTAACTAATTTTACAGAAAATGATATTCTTTTCTCTTTGTTGTGAGTAAGGTGGAGATTTGCAATGTTTACGAGTTGATCAGTTTTGGGAGTTACTGTTATCAGGTAGTTGCTGCTTTTTAGGCTGGTAGTGGAACAGGGGGTCTGTACTTTGGGGTACTTGTAGTTTTAAAAAATTAATAAAGGATCACAGATTTAATGCATCAAGACATTTAATTTTCAAGAGATAATATTTTGCAGTAAATATCACGTACAGTTATACTGTAAGCCTTTTTTTCAACTTTAAGTCCATGTATTTGTTAAATAAAGTCTCTAGAGTTAAATGTAAAACACAATAAGTGTAATTACATGAGATGTTACAGACTATACACAGTCTCCTGTGGGTCTCAACAGACCACGAAGTAGACCAATGTACAATAAAGTAGAATAAAACATAACTAAATACAGTGCATTAAAATAGAACAGAATAGAATAGAAAATAACAGAGTAGAATAGAGAACAGAATAGCATAGAATAGAATAGAGAAAAGAGTAGAATAGAGAATAGAATAGAATAGAATAGAATAGAATAGAATAGAATAGAATAAAACATAACTGAGTAGAACAGAATAGTGTGGAAAAGAATAGAATAGAAAACAAACAAACCAAATTATTGTGCAGTAGAGTGGAACAGAGCAGAACCAAATATATCAGAATAGAATGGAAAAAAAAACAGAAACAGAGCAAACCAAACAGAATGTGATACTTTGATGCCGCTGAAAAAAGCGTTGTCAGCCTAAGATATAAGCCGTGCCTTTGTCTTTCTTCCAGAAACCTTAGACCATAGAAATTGTCTGAAATCACCTGAATCCCAGCTTCAGAATGGTTAACTTTACATTTTACATTCCATAACAATTCAGCCTTTTCCCGAATGTACAGGGGTGCGAGGGCCTAATTATCCAGACGAATATACTACTATTCGTACAAATCCTTACTCCAAACATGCGGATTTGTATGAGAAAACCGACGGATTTTATAACTTTAAACAAATAAATGCTAAGTTTCTAACAGGCTTTGACCAAATGAGAGACGAAAGATTTGACATATCGTTGAACAAATTTCATAGATTTTATAACTTCTAGTGAATGCTCAGACACCACAAGTCTACAGTTTATCGGATCACTCATAGTCCGCTGGGTCGGACTTTGGCTTCACCACGGCAGGTTTGGACTTCTTCTTGATCAGGTAGTGCGCCAGCGACCCGAGCACGGCCAGGAACACAACTCCGCCAACCGCGCCCCCGATCAGAACCCCCAGGGAGCCTCCACCGGACATTCCTCCGTCCTCCCCGGCTCCAGGGATCTCTGTGGGGAGAACAGTACATGTTAGAGTTAAGCCGAGACGGGGGGCGATACAGATTATCCTCCCAGGAACACCACTCCGCCAAACGCACCCCTATCAGAACCCCCAGAGAACCGCCACTGGACATTCCTCCATCTTCCCCTGCCCCAGAGATCTCTGTGGGGGAACGATACAGGTTAAAGTTTAGCCGGGACGGGGGACGATATAGACTACCCAACCAAAATCACCACCCTCCCACCGCGCCTCCGATCATCACCCCAAGGGAGCCTCCACCGGACATTCCTCCGTCTTCTCCTGCACCAGGGATCTCTGTGGGGAGAACAGTACACGTTAAGTTCAGCCGAGACGGGGGGCGATACGGACTACCCCCGTCCTCCCCGGCACACGGGATCTCTGTGGGGGAAACGATACAGGTTAATGTTCAGCCGGGACGGGGGGTGATACAGACTTTGGTCTACTGTTCATTGTGCCTTGAAAAGAGCAATGGGGATTTCCCCGGTATAATGAACATGTAAATACTGTACATTAGTGTCTGCCTTTTCTGTCAAAACAACAACAACAAGTGGGAGAGTAGCTCAACTGTTCAAAAGGCTAAACTGGTTTGAAGAAGATTTTCAGTTTGGACTCACCGACTTCACAGTTGTCTCCTTCGTACTTGTCTGTGCATGCGCAGGAGTACTGCGCAAACTCGTCCGTACAGGTTCCGCCATTCTGACACGGATCCGATGAACACTCGTCAATTTCTGAAAAAAAAAAACAGATTTAACAAACATTTCTATTCAAAAATCAGAGAAGTACGCAATTCCTAGGTTCCTGAATTCCCCCATGGCTAATTCCTGCAGGCTCCTGGTCAGATTCTGATAGCTTTGACCTCCTGTCATTTTGCCTGTCAATCTTCCCAAACCCATGTGCTGTCAACCTATTCTGTCAGGACAGAGACACAAACCCACAGTACAGCCACCAGAAACAATTATACTTCTTAATACATTAAATGCACCCGTTTCTTGCATTGACTGTCGTCATTCAAATTGTGTAATATATATCATATCTATATCTATATCTATCTATCTATCTATCTATCTATCTAATATATATATATATATATATGTGTGTGTGTGTGTGTGTGTGTGTGTGTGTGTGTGTGTGTGTGTATAATATTAACATATTGTTTTTGCTACGTTTCCTCTTCTTCTGTTCCAAACACTGACCTTTGACCTGGCCAATGACCTGATTTGATGACGTCTTTCACCATAGTTACAGGTGATGGGTTACATAATGTTGCAATTTTATAGTAGGAGTAACATATACTCCTGTCTGACCATAAGTATGAATGTACATGTATTTGAGTAAGGATTAACAGGGCAGACCATATGCGAAGGTAAACATTATGCATTTGCTTTGCACATGTTACCTTTTTAGTAGATCATGATCATATTCTTAAAGGTGTTTCGAGTTTCCTTACCCTGGTCGCAGTTGGTTCCCTCCCACCCCTCCGTGCAGGTGCAGGTGTAGTAGTCCGGACCCTCCTCAGGTGTGTCCAGACAGGTGGCGTCATTCTGACACGGGTCCTCTGAACAGGGTCCTGCAGAAGGAAAAGTGCATGTCCTAAATATCTCAATTATGCATTGTAGCACATTGGGAATAGTAAGGCTATATCATTTTCACCAAAGATATAGTATACCTATAGTAAAACTACTGTATCACGAGGTTTTGTCCTGTGTTTTTATCATTTAGATAATGTATAAAGCTAGGATGCTATTCTCTGGGGACATGTACTTCATTCCAAGTTATACCTATTCCTACAAATTAGGAAGATAGAAATAGGGGTGACAAATATAGAGTGTTTGTTTAGCCAACAGGATGCTAGCACTGTCTTTCACTGTGTGTTTTTATGGCATGTGACATAGAAAGTGCACTTAAAGTGCGGACACAACCGTGTTAAGTGTTACGCCCCAGATGCACAGACAACACTTAATATTGTTATGGTGCCTGAATGATCATGTCCCACTTCTAAATGTCTCAGTCTGTTAGAATGACTGTGTCCCACTCCTAACTGTCTCGAATTTAATGATCTTGTCCCACTCTTGATAATGGAGCATTTTAACACTAGTATCTGGATCCGGGTAAAGAATTGCACTTCGCCGCGACACGAGAGCGAAAATACAGACCACTCATCACCGAGTTCATGATGTCATGTCTCGACGTTCTGTCATTGCTGTCAGCATGTTTACTATACAAACTATACTCTTACTGTAGATACCATTACCTCACTGTACATACTGTAGTATTACAGTTACTGTAGATAAACATTGGATACTATACTGGATGTTTTAGATATCTTGTACTGGCCTTGTTGGACATAGCCATTGACTACTTGGGCAGCCCTGGCTTCACTATAGTTATGCTTTAGATACTGTACATGTATCTTTACTGCAGATGCTGAATTACCCTTCCCAATAATAGCCGTTGAATAGTTTTACTGCCAAACCAGCAAAAAGATCAATGAAACCGCAGGAGAACTCACTGTCCTGGCAGAACTATTGACAATGCCCCTACTGTACTTGGTGACAGTGAGTTCCACTCTGCGGTAGTTCCAGGAAAGAATGGATTCTTGAACACCTCAATCCTTGGTTGATAACTCTGGTACCTGAAGGCATGGCTTTTTCTTGTTCTCTTCTGGGCTGGTATTAGGTACTTAGTAGTTGGGACGTCCAGCAGTTGTCCTTGTCTGTAACATTCACATAGTAGTGAATCTCTGTTTCTGCCAAACAATGTAAAAGAAAAACTCACTGTCCTGGCAGATCTCTCCCACCCAGCCTCCTGCGCATGTATCGTTTGGGCAGCGACCCGTGAACCTGTCACAAGCCACGTCATCCAGGCAGTGGCAGGTCTCTGTACAGTCCTCACCGAACTTTCCTTCTGCGCATTCTGAAATAAGAAATTGGAGATTTCAGACTTCCTGGAATTTTGTTTGGGTTTTCGTGACGTCCAAGTTTGCAGACGTTTGGAAAATGTTTTGGGTTTTTGTGAATGGGGTGAAACTGTATATTTTATGATGTAATTTTATCCACAGGTAATCTCTTAATCAATTTCTCCAAATAATGCATACACAGTGGGTAAAGCGCCGCACGGCCTAACGTACACACCAGTACTGCACATAGAATCGGTAAGGTCACACCGAGATTTGTCTTATCCGAAACCAAGCTTTGTCCAGAACCGTGCTTTATCATCCACGCGTATCCAGAACAGTGCCTGGATCAGGCTAATCTACGTTTTTGGATACGCGGAGACTATTCGGAACGGTTTCTGATCCAAAGAACTAGATAGGCACTGTTCTGGATACGATAGAGGCTATCCAGAACCATGCCTGATCCTAGCCCTAACCCATTCAGGTGTAGAACTAGATAGTGACAGTATCCAGAACCGTGCCTGATCCCAAACCCTGACCCATTTAGGCATCCAGGAACCAGACAGGCACAGTTCTGGATACGACAGTCCTCACCTGTCTGACAGTCGCCTCCCTCCCATCCCGCCTCGCACCCGTCATCGCAGGCTCCGTTCACGACGTCACACTGCTCCTTACAGTTACACTGCTTCAGGCAGTTCACTCCGAACGTCTTCTCATCACAGGCTACACGGAGGGAAACAGGTTAACATATAACCACTCTCCTGTCACACTGCTCCTTACAGTTACACTGTTTCAGGCAGTTCACTCCGAATGTCTTCTTATCACAGGCTGGGAAACGGTCAGAATGATAAGCTGGTTTATGGTTTGAACGGCTCATTTTGTACATCAATCTATTGACAGAACTTTTTATGCCTGGCTAAGAGACCACCAAAACGCCAAAAGTGACAATGCCACAGTGAATGAATGAATGAATGAATGAATGAATGAATGAATGTATGAATGAATGAATGAATGAATGAATGAATGAATGAATGAATGAATGAATGAGTGAAAGAAAGAAAGAGCCTTACGATCCTGGCACTCCGGCGGTTTGAATCCTATGTAGCATGAGCATGCGTACGGGTCCTGGATGCAGAACAGCCTCCCTGCACACGTCTCCCGCGCGTCCGTCTCGTCTGAACACTTGTACTCACACTCCAGCCCGAAACCGTTAGAACCACAGGCTGGAACAAATCAGGACAACATCTAATTTATCAGTCCTCTCCACACGATATACGTTATATAGTGACTGAGGGTGTAAAACAGCTCCGTCAGTTTTACAGAACACTTGTACTCACACTCCAGCCCGAAACCGTTAGACCCGCAGGCTGGAATGGAGATGAAAATCTATGAGACTCTATCTATCCAGGACAAAACCTATCGCCAGAAGGCGCTCTTCAAAGTATTCTTGGTGGGGGGATAAGGCCTCAATAAAATAACAAAACATTACTTAACTACAAATACAACCATCTCTGTTTACTTAGCATCTCTTGTCCCTTTAAGCTGAAGTCACTGACAGTTAAGACTTGCGGAGGGGTCACATTCGTTGAATTTGAAAGCAGGCTGTGACACTGACCCTTCCGTCGACGCGAATCTAAAACAGCGTTTTTCGTCAGGAGACGGTTCAATTCTACAGAACACTTGCACATCTGTCCCAAGAATACATTCAGTTTGCGATCACACGACAATTGTACATGTATGTGGCTGGGTCCTAACTGGAAATATAGGCCTATTGTACCCAGAACCGTGCCTGTCTTGTTCTATGCCTGAATGGGTTAGGGTTAGGATCAAGCACGGTTCTGGATAGTCTCCGTGTATCCAAGAACATAGATTTGCCCCAGGCATGGTTCTGGATACGCGTGGGCTGTCCAGAACCGTGCCTGAGCACGGATATTGATAAAGCATGGTTTTACATGCATACAAGCCCTGTGCTTCAGGTTGAGAAAGGAAAGTCCTACCTTCGTCACACGTATCCCCCATGAACCCTGGCGCACACATGCACCTCCCGTCACTCGGGTTACAGACTCCGCCGTTCTCACAGTCAGGACAGTCCTGGTCACACCCGCGGCCCCACTTTCCGTCAGGGCAACCTGCGAAGGGAAACAAGTTACATGTAGGTGGATAACAGTTTATGTGATAGACTTTTTAACCTTCTCCCATGGCCATGGTGCCAAAAGGCCACTTTTGCAGTGAAAAGGTTAAAGTGATCACTAGAAACTGGCTTTAAGCCATATTTTTAGTTAGCTTAGGAGGGAAAATCCACTTATCTCATTTTGAATCGTATTCAGTTCGACATACTTTTAAATGGGGGATTTGCACCATAGGGTTTGGTAATATTTGCCTGCGTTCTCCTGGCGAACTATGTACCTAATTTGTGACCTAATCTACTGCCCATAACCCCTCTAGGTGGGCCTGGTGGAGGCTACTATTTTTGCCTAATTCTACTGTCTATAACCCCTTAGAAAGACTTGATATAGGTTACGTGTAGCCAGCTATACAACGTTGTAACTTCAAGCTTTGTTTCATCACAAGAAGGAAACTCACCATAAATTTTCGGTCGATCTCGTCAACCTCCGTCAGATGTGTGATGCACTCGCTGACTCTCCGGAAACGTGATGACGTGCATCACATGTACACACCAGACGAAGGTTGACGACATCGACCTTCTTATGTTGGAACAAAGCTGGAACTCTATGAACTCTACCAACACAGGTGAGCTTTCATTCGACACTGTAACTTATTGGTTAATGTAGTCCCTAACTTCTAACGATAAGCCGCATGATAGCCTGCTCGGCCGCCTGTCTCTGTTCCTCCGTGCGGTAGCACTCGAACACGCCGGTGGCCTGGGTCCCCACGCTGTCGATGGTCAGCGTCAGCTCCGACTCCCCCGAGATAATGGACCCGTCCTTCCGCCAGATGACCGGACCTGACCCCCCGCTGCTGTCAGTCATCTCCAAGGTAACCGCGTCTTGCACACTGACGGTCTGGGTT